AGAAAACTAATTATATAAAGAAATCCAGTTGGTCACCAAATACTTCGGGTATATTTGAAACATGTAATTTTTACATACACGTTTCTATATTGCTTATACAATTTTTTATATTTCACGTAAAAATAATTTTTTTTTCAAATTATTTGACAAAATAAACATATTTTAAAATAAGCGAAAAGAAAAAAAAGTTACAGGAGTTTAATGAAAAATCAATTCACAAATTGAAATAAAATCGCTGAATCTAGATGGAACAAAATTGAAAAATATACTCCCTCCCTCCTATAACTATGTATCCAGATATAGTGGGAATAAAGTAAAAACGACTAAAATGACATTATTAGTATTGTGTGATACAAAGGTAATGACATTTGTGTAATATATTGAAAATTGTAAGGTTATATGTAATATTAGGTAGATTACTCATTCATTTACTAAAAAAAAGTAAATGAATACTTTGTTATGAAACATACAAAAATAGAAAAATGGATACTTTGTTACAGGAAGGAAGCATGTGAATTCAATAAAAAAAAAAAAAAAAAAACAAGAAAAAAAAATGCATGATTTTATGTGAGAATATTTTATGGATACTAAAAAATTGTGTTATATTGATGATCAAAATAACAACCCATACACAAGTACCATAAAATAGATTAGATAGACTTAAATCTAAATAACACAAAACAACCTAAACATCCTAATCTACCGATAAAATTAAATTTAAATATATGTTAAATATATAAAATATCCCAACATTTCTCTTCAAACTAAGTGGTATAGTAGAAATCAACGTGAGCTTGACAAAAAAAAAAAAAAGTTGAACACAAATGTAAAAGACGCAAACAAAAATAACAATTGTTTGTTCGTCATTGCTGTCGTCACTCTACCGTGTTAAAGTCAGAAATAATGTTCTTAGCTGAATTAGAGTAAAAAAATAACATGACTCTCAACAGAGTCAGAAATAACAGAACTCTCACCGGAGCCAGAAATGACATGACTCTCCACAGAGCTGAAAACAATGAGACTCTCAACATATTCAAAAACAACGAGACTCTAAACAGAGTCGAAAACGACGCTACTCTCAATACACCGTATAATTCTGGAGAAACATGACAGACGTATCGCTGAAAGATACGCAGACAAAACTCTTAAATTCAAAAACAGATGAAAACCAAGACTTTAAATGGAAAGATACGCAGACAAAACTCTTAAATTCAAACGCAGATGAAAACCAAGACTTTAAACAGAAAGACTAATAACTAGAAACAAAATCTTAAATTTTGAATAACTCCGGATGTATTTTAGATTGAATGTATTTGAAGAAACGTGAGTTAATATATTGTATCTATTTCAAGAAAAAAAAAAGTAAATTTTGATACAATGTGAGAATATTTTATGAAAAATAAAAAATTGTATTGTATTGATTATCAAAATAAGAACCTATATATATACACCATAAAACAAATTCGATAAATCAAATCTAAATAACCTAATCAAGTGGATATGACCAAATATAAATCTAAACTACACAAATCTAAAATTAAATATTTAAAATATTTCAACATCCCCTTCAAACTCAAGTAGGATCGCAGAAATCAACTTTAAATTTGACAAAAAAGTTGATGTGTTGGGCTATCATAGATGACATTGGACCACGCTTGATGCGGCTGGATCTCGTTCGACGCGGTTGGACTTCCCGCGACACGGTTGAACCTCCCATGACGGGTTGGACCTCCTTCGACGCGGCTGGACCTCCCTCGACGCGGTTGGACTTCCCGCGACACCGTTGGACCTCCCATGGCGCGTTGGACCTCCTTCTGACGCAGCTGGACCTCCCTCGACGCGACACAAACCTCGTTCAATGTAATTGGACTTTGCTCGATGCCGCTAGACTTCGCCCAAAGGGACTGAAGACGTTCCGAGGCTAAAATAACACCAATGAAAATATATTATTTTTTCATAAAATATTATAATAAAATACTAGTTAAATTAAAATTCAAATCACTACCCTAATTTCAAGTCAAAACTAACAAAGTTTAAAGTACTTTTTAAAAACTATATTAAAAGGTGACTTTGTTTACTTGTATTTTTTATTTTGATATTTAAAAAAAAAAAAAAAACTTAACAATCATAACAATCAATATATTTATATTTAAAATATTATATTATAACTTATATTTTCTATTAGAAATATTATATGTCTAGATTTATTTTTCATTCAAAATTTTATATTGAAAAAATATCTAAATTGTAACTAACAAATTAAATAAACTTGAATAATCTATTGAATGAGTCTAGTGTACAAATAATGAAATAATTTTTCTATCACATAGGGTATAAATGAAATGTTTTCATTTTATTATTTGATCAGACAAAAACTATTGTTTTTGGCTAGCAATATATTTTTAAAACTTTTACTATTTAATTTTTTTATTTTTGTATAAAAATACAAAATATCATATGTAACAATATCTTGTTTACCGATCATCATTCAAACAAAAATATTTGAACTAACACCAAACAAATTACCAAAAGAATCAAATATATATTATATGTATATATATTTTGTTTAACTTAGATTTAAAAAATTCTTTTAATGTGTGTTTATTTGTAACGTTTCGATTTTTATTATATTTTGATACTTATAAAATGAAATAGTACAAATATGATATTTGTAGACAAAATAAGTTTTTAAGTATGATATTACTAATTTAAAAAAGTAATCAAATTTATAAGTGTTAATCGTAAAATAATTAACAATCAAGCAGTAAAATTATGGTGAAGAGTTGTCAATTGGATTGGATTATCCGATTCTTATGATCGCAAAGTATCTAATTGTCCAATTTGATGAGGATCGATTTGGAGGATGTCCAATAATTCGGGGACTACACTATCTGAATTCTAACCGAGTTTTTTCACTGTATGTTCAATTAGTCCGATCCGAAGATCGATCGATTTAATTTTTGCAATATGTACAAATTGAAACCAATTTTTGCATATATTTTTGTATTTAATAATAACAAAAATTAAATAAAAAACTTGAAATTTACTTTAAAGCCCTAAATAAGTTTGCAAAGTTGATGTCACTTAAGAAACTCGAGTCATCAATTTAGACTTGTGAGGGTTATCGCAGTTTAGTCCCGGACTTGCACAAATTAGAACTTTATATTGTTTTAAATGTATATATTTATATATATATATATATTATAAAAATTCAAACCTTTAAATTTAATACTAATGTTCCTAAGTAGGTATTTATTTATTTTTTGCATATAGAATTTTGCTAATACTATCTCTGTTCCGAAAAAAGGGAGTAATATTTACTTTTTGCATGTACATTTTTTAATATTAATATTATATTGATTTATAGTCGAAAAAATAAAAATACTTCTATTAGATTGTGTGATAAAAAAGTAATAGCATCTGCGTAATATATTGAAAGTTGTAAGGTATTAAGTTACTAAATTATGATATAATATTTTTTTTTGAACGAACAAAAATGAAAAATAGTACCATTCTTATAAACGGAGAGAGTATTATATTTATATATAATACAAATTAAGAGAAAAGAAAAAATATATTTATTAGTATTATTATACTATAAATATAAAGATATTTATAATATTATATACACTAGAAAAAAAACAAATTAATAGTTAAGACTTAACGGAGAGAAAAAAGTATAATTAAAAAATAAAATAAAATAACAAGGGTGTGATATTCCTCTGGACCTCTACTCCCATGATCTCCCAAGAATCAACCAGGAATCATATACTTCAACTTGTGTGTTTTCCATAGACCAGGTCATATTCTTTTAAATATAAAAAAGAAAAAGAAAAACTGCTTAGTTGACCCAACTAAAAGTCGGTCAATCTTGAGAATTGTTGACATTTTCTAGGGTTCATTACCTCCTTAATTAATCCCCAAATTTGGCCAATCATTGATTTCTTGATCTCCCAAAAAAGCTTTTAAAATGAAAAAAAAAAAAAAAAAAAAAAGGTTATTGATAAAGTTAAAAAAAAAATTACCCAAACACTCAAATTTTTACTATATAAACTATACCATTTTTTTTTTTATAAAATATCTTATCATATTTAAGTCCATGAAAAGAAACATACAGTGCACACATATAGATATACATTCATCATGTATTACCCAAATTAATTCATCAAGAAAACCAACTTTTTTTTTATTTTTTTATTTTTGCCTTTTTACAACAGTATGCCTTACCACCTAAATTTGATGAGTCATTTGATTTGGTCAAATCTCAAAACAATCAAATAACCACTCAAAATTCCAAAGTCAAACTTCCAAAATCCAAGAATAAATATGTAACCACTAATACAACCTGTCTCATAATTTTGATTACTTTAGGTATGATTTTGTTAGATTCTATAATTTCAATAATTGCTTTTTTTAACCAATTTATCTCTAGTTTTCATTTAAAATTATTTTATAAATTATACATAGAAGAATATTTTTTTTAAAAAAAAAAAAAAACTCACACTCCATTCATATCATAGCTACTATTTCTATCTCTCCCAAATTAATTGTTTCATCGTCTTAAATAATCATATCATCATAAAATTCTTTTTAATTTTCCTTATTATTACGAAAATATTATAACTTTTTATACATGAACTAAAACACAATTTCATGAGGGCAAAAATAACTTTTTAACCCATAATTTGTATTGATTACTATCATAATATCAATATTTTTTAAAATTTGTACCACAAATTTAGGTCACAAAATTTTAAAACACCCGAATTAAAAATTACAGCAAATGATTTTATATATATATATTGACCAACCAACTCTATCCACAAGTCTTAGTGCAATTTCTTTGCCACTCAAATTGTTAATTGTTGTTTGCCTAATCAAAGAACCACTTTCTATGGCCACATTTCATTAAACCCCACAAAGTGATCCTAAAGTTGAACTTCTCTCTTTCCCCAATATTTTCCACATTCCCACCCCCCCCCCCCCCACCCCCACATATATAAACACACACCCAAAATCCTCATTTCTATTCTTGCCACACATTCCTCTTCCATCCCATTCCATTCTCCCCTTCAAGAATCCCTCCAAAAAAACACTTCAAAAAAAAAAAAAAAAAAAAAAAAATCAAGAACAAGAACAAGAAGAAGATGGTTAGAGCTTTACCAATGATCCATGTAGTTGGTGATATGGGAAGAACCTTCTCCCAAATCCCTATTGCAATAGGCCTTTTCGTCGCGGTCTCCGTTCTCGTCGCCTTCTGCGCTAAACGCGCTCGACAATTCTCCGCAAAGTCAACACCCAAAACGATCGGTTCCAACGTACCTAAAGTGCCGTTGCTTTCGCCCAAACAGCTCATCGCAACCATAAGTCAAAAGGCGATGACGCCTTTGGCTCACGGCAAGAAAACGCCGGCGCCCGGACAAGAATCCGATGTTTTCTACAAAGGGACTCAAGAAGAGAGCGGACTATGGCAAAAGGCAATCCTTATGGGCGAAAAATGTCAGCCGCCCGAGTTTTCGGGAGTGATTTATTACGACTACTCCGGAAATAGGATTTCCGAGATGCCCAAATCGCCTCGACCCGGCTCGATGAGCCCTTTGAGGAATTTCAACTTTGCTGTTCAGAAAACAGAGAATTCTGTCTACTGATGATAAAAATCGAGCGCGGTAATATAGAAATTTTTTTGTCTCATGTAAGTTTATGAAGAAATAAATCTCACTATAAGCATGATTTTCGAATATTGATCCTATGAACTTCGATATACATGTAATTTAATTTGTCGAAGATGAAGTGTATAGCTAAGTAAATGACGAGAAGAAATCGACGTATCTTAAGCTCCCGGTTCGTTATCTTCTGTTGATGTTGTCGTCTGTGTGTGAGCTCGGCTTCTTAGCTCTTCGAACGCCTTCATGCTTTCTGCGTCGAAGCCTCCGGCAAACTGCGAAAAACGTTCGTTATAATGATAATTTTATGCGTACGGTTCTTCGAAAAAATTTAAAAAAAGTTGGAGTTCTTAATGCACCTGATGCACGCGGAATGCGAAACGAACGCCTTGTAGAATCAGGAATTCTTTGTTAGGTTCTTTTTCGGGTTCATTCATCGCGTCGAGCTCTGTTGCGACGCGTTTCATGTACTTTCGGGCTAATTGAACCGACGAAAGCTTGATCTATGTATCGATTAGCAATGTTCGCATTTATGAGCACGTTATGCTTTTAAATGGATAATAACATAATCGAAGATTAGGATCGTTACCTTCCCGACCACGCCAGAATCAAGCAGCCAGTTGATCGGGATTCCAAACTCCTTATAGCGCGAAACCGCCATGTCTCGTGTACGAAGCAGCGCATATACGCTTTGCTCCACCCTGTCGATAACACGACGGCGTAAAAATTTTATACCGATTCGGGAAAATTAACAGAAAATCGAACGCTTACTTTTCGAGCAACTTATACATCTTCTTCAAAGCCTCGTCGTAAGGGAGATTTGGGTCGTCGATGAACGACGACACTTGCTTCTCCAATTTCATTAGATCTTGATACTCGAACGCCGCCTCCCTTAATGCATCGGCTTTCCCCTCCGGCCAGTCGAAGTGCTTGAGAACGGCTCGTTCGTCGACCTAATGTAGACGATCGAACGATAATTTGTAAGAAAATCGACTGTAATTGCGACGTTTGGGAATTTACGATAATACGTACTAAGAAGGAGAGCTCTTCGTCTAGCCAGTTCACGAACGTGACCAAATCTTCGATGTTAGCGAAAGAACACGCGCGAACTTCGGCTGCCAATGAATTGACGAAGTCACCTTGCGTCTCGACGTCTGCCTTTACCTGATTGAAGACATTTGGAGCATTCGATTGTTAGAATTGCAAAGAAACAAGAAACGACAATTGCGCGAAAATTAACACGTACGGCTAATAGGAACGATGATCGGTTCTCGATCTCCCCGATCATGTTGCTCCGTGCATCGGATACATTCGACGTCGTCGATATCAACGACGAAGTATCCTTCTTCGCCTCCCGTTTCATCAACGACTGGTAGAACTCGACTAGCTCGGGAGCCCGGTGAACTTTATCCCCACCTCCGCTAGTTTTCGAGAGGCTTCCGGGCGGCGGTGGCGGGCGAGGAGGTCCACCTGGCGGGGGAGGGGGCGGGGGCGGGGCTCCGGGTACCCGAGTCGAAACATTCGTACTTCCACCACCAGAATCGCCGCCGGAAGATGATTTTGGAGGCGGTTTCGGGACTCGAGGCGCTCGTTTTTCGATCTGCGAAAGCTGCATTTTGCTAACGATCGGCGTATCAGCTGCGTTGTCGTTCGATTGGCTGGTTGAGTCTCCCGAAACGACGACCGAAGGCTTCTCTTTTATCTGAGTGAGCTTTAGAGGCAACGAGACGGGCCTCCCGCTCCCCCGGAGAGGGTCGCCGAACTTCACCGCTCTCGCCTGCTGCGCTTTCTCCTTAATCTGCTTCTCGCGTTCTAACGCGAGCTTATGTCGATCTTTATACGCGGGATACTTTTCGTCGAGAACGCCTTCGACCGACTTTGACATCAACTGGAAAGACGTCGCGACGGAATCCGGTGAGTTAAGCTCGTCCTGTTCGGCAGTTCCGAATGACGTTATCGCATTACCGTCTCCGGCATTTCTCATCATCAAAGCTTCGAGAGGACCCCTCGGCTTCAGGCTCATGCTCGCCCGGCTCGGAGACCCGCCTGCTAATGATCGAGCCGGGGAAGACAGCACGCTCGAATCGTCGCGACTCTTTCCCCATTTCTTGAACTTTTGAAACAGATTAGGCTTCTTGCTCACGCTCAATCGGCTTGTCGAACTATCGATCGAAGTGTTGTCGAAATCCTCGCTGTCGACGGAAGTGTTGTCGAAGTTGCTGTCGATATCGGTGTCGCCTCCGCGCTCCGATCCTGCGTATTCCAACATTAGCTGCTTGGCGCGCTCTTGCGACCTCGGGCTCAAACTCTTGTTCAAATCGCGCGCGGATGTTTTCCCCCGCGGCGTTTGGTAGTTTCGAAGCTCGAATCGTAGGCACGCGTTGACCCAACGAAGATAAACGAGTTCTTCGACTTCGCTAAATCGATTCATCTGAAGTCCTTCGACTTGCTTGACGAGGTCGTCGTTTGCGTGCCTCATTTCGTTCACTTCCTCCCTCACCTTCGCCACCATTTCCGTCTGCAGATTCGAAAAATTCGAAAAAACCAAATCACGTAACGTAATTATCGTTTAACGGCAGCGCGTAAATATCGAAACTTACCTCCGTCATGTTTGAAAGGGATTTCACTTTTGCCTCAGCAGAATCGAGCTTCACGATCAACTCCCGCTTCTCGTGCTGCAATTCTTTGTTCTTACGCTTAAGTTCCATGACCTCGACTTCGAGTTCTTTCACGGCTTTGAGCTTTTTTTCGACCTCAGCGTCTTTCTTGAACGCTTCTTGCTCCTTCGCTTGAAGCCCCGTAACTTGTTGTTTAAGAAGAAGAAGTTGCCCTTTCGTCTGGTTCGACTCCAGCTGAATTTGCTTCTGAAGTTCCTTAATTTTCTTTCGCGCGTTGTCGAGTTCTTTCCGGACGACGGCGCCGTGAGAGGCCTCTTCTTGAAGCTTCTTTCTTTCGGCTTGCAGAGAGCTTATAGTGATATTGAGCATGTCGATTTCGACTGTTTTGATTTTGAGCTGTTTTTGTAGCTCGGAGATGCTCGATTCTTGCTCTTTCAATCCGTAGTACTCGAGAAGCTCGCCTTCGAGCTTCACTTCGCGTTCTTCGAGCTCACGGACGAGGTCGCGCAGACGTTCGAGTTCGCTTGCGTTGTTCGCCATTTCATCCTCGTATACTCTGTCTTTCTCGGCCTTGAGCTTTGCTGCGGCGGTGTCGTACTTATCCGTGGGTAACGGGAACTCGATTTCTCCAGAAAGTAGGCTCTCGAACTCCGGCAGAAGCTCGTCGTCGAAGGTGTTCGACGGATCGACCAGGGCCGGATTGATAATGCTGTTGATCAGCTTCACTTCCTCCTTTTCCTCGTCTTCTTCTTCCTGCCATGGCGTGGAAAACAGATTAAAAACATTCGATACAGAGATCAAAACAAAAAGAACTTTGAAAAATGACGAAACTTCAAAACAACCTCATTGAGGAAATTCGTCGAACACCTTGCGTGCACCTTCTCTTTGTTTTCTCGTTCATGGCGCCGATTCTCTGCATCATTCCCTTATTCAACAAACCTCAGATTAAACACACACAGACCATTTTAATGAAAGAAATCGAACAAATCGAAGGCTTACTTAGTTTGTCTCGAGGCTTCGAGCCTTTAACATTAATCTGCTTAACAGTGTATGCTGCAATGGAAGCAGCAACCAGAAATCCTAACCTGACAATCATGTAGGAATTATCGATGGAAAATACCTAATTTCCCACTCTTTGGCGAATTCACAACCCCCTTTCTCCATTTCCCCTAAACTCCATACCTCAAAAGCTCAAATCTCAACAACCAATACATACATACATCTATATATATATATATACACAGAAATATCTATCTTCTCTGCAGGTCCTAAAATGGCAGAACAATCAATAGCATTTATCTCCTGAAGAAGAAGGGAAATTACAAAATTCCTGATGATAATTACAAATCTGGCGTATAAAAGCTACACGGGCCACCAGATATCTCGTGGCCAGTTTTTCTCCAGTAAGGATTGAAATTCGTCAATGGGGGTGGGTCTCTGTGGCTAATTTCGTTGAGCAGATGAATGAATGGAATGTTGAAAATGGCAGCGGCCAGTGACAACGACGCCAGTTAAAATACGCTACTGAAGAATAATTGGGTGCAAATTTTGTGCCCTAATTTTGCAATTACAGCAAGGTAAGAACCCTAAATCTCCATCAACGAAGAGAAGTTAATAAAAAATTACAGAATGGGAGACATTAGGGATTGAATTGATTGAATGAGAAGAGACAAAATTGAGGAATGAGAAAATGGTTAAAAAGGAGAGAGTGTATCCACAAGGATTTTTCGATTGTTTGTTTCATGGCATTAAAGTTTTGGAGGTTTCTGGCAATAATAATAGCAGGGTATCATTGTCAATATCATATTGGAGAAGAAAGAGTGAGGTGAGATGCCATGGATGAGGCCATGGTGAAGCTTGGGTGGGTCATCTTCCTCCTCAGTCCTCATCCTTATACATACATATATATATATATATATATAATTGGGGTTGAAGAGGTTCCACACAAATTCAATCGCTTATCCCCACTGCCCTCTTCTGGGGATTGTTTTATGGTTCGACGACAACGATGTTATTTTGGATTTTTGTTTTCTGATAAATACTTATTTAAAAAAAAAATGAAAAAACGAAAATCGAACGTAGAAACAAAAAATCGAACTTTAAAATGAAACTAAAGTTTATAATTATTTTTAAAAAAGAAAAATGATATAGAATATGAACGGATAAAAACGGTAATGTCATAGAGTAATTCTAAAGCTTTATTTATTTTTAAATATTAATTATTATATTAAAATATAATATAAATTAAAAAAAATATAAAAATATAATAATATTTTTAATATTAAATATAGTAACGTACATGTGACTTTAGAAATTTTGATAATTTTAGTTTTAGCTAATCGGATGGTTGTAATGTATATATATATATGATATATACATATATTAGTAAGATACGAAATAAACAGGGTATCTGGATATAAATAGGTATTGATGGAATATTTTAAATGTAAAATTTATTTTTAATATAATATATAAAAAATAATAAGTGTTTCACTTGATATTTTTAAGATAAAAAAATTGAATGAAATAGTAAAGTTTGAAGAAAATTTTCAAAACAAACAGGCCCATTAATGTACCAAATGTGGAAGAGTATGATGCTAAGATTACGTCAATTCAACACTATTATGATATTATCCGTTTTAGGCTCAGTCAGTACGAATTTATTTTTAAACTTCATCTAAAAAGTCTCGTACTAATGGAATTTATATATTTCCTCTGTTCAAATATAATAGTCTTATTTACCATTTTTGTCCGTTCCAAAACAATAGAACCATATCGCTATAAAACTATCTCTACTTTTCATTATTATTACACAATTGCCACTACTTTTTACACTAATACATTTATAAGGACAAAAAAGTTCTTTATCCATATTTTTTACCAACTATCAATATAATATCAATATTTCTTAAATTTTGTGTCTAATACAACTAATATTATACTTTATGTGAAGATGATTTTGAATTCTTTTTGGGCCGTTTGTGGTGGCCCATGTCCCTTGTTTATTTACGCCAGGCCCATTTAAGTTTGGTTGTTTGGAGTGGGGATTGGATTAGCCTATTTAATTGGCAGGTTTTATAGGCCTTCTATATGGGCTATTTTGGGCTTACTAATGGGTCGGGTTGGGCCCAATAGCTAAATTTGGACCTTTTGTTTTTTCATTTATGGGCTTGGGTAGATTTGAGTGTTTCATGTGATGATGCGAGTCTTCATTTGTATTTAGCCCTCAATGTAAATTTATCTTCATGATATAAAATTTATAATTTTTTACTAAAAGAATAAAAATAACCACAAAAATATAATGTTTCCTTCATCTCAAACAAAATATTAGTTTTTTTTTTTAATTTTTTCTTTTTGAGTATTTCAAAACAAAATATTCATTTTTTTTATTTAGTTACTTATTTAATATTAAGAATAATTTTATAATTTATAACTATTATTACATATTATCTTTATATTACATATTATTAATAATAAATATTCCTGTTATTTTATCTTCATTTCTATTTAATATTAATATTAAAAAAACCTATTTGCAATCTTTCCGTACGAGAGAGTATATAATAAATAAATAAATAAATATATTTGGAAAAAAAATAAATTAATCATAAAGTTGAATGAAGAATTTTAAATATTTATAAATATATTTGTGTGTGTAGAAAAGATAGTACTGCTTCTACTTCTCTCCCGGCTCTAATGCTCTCAACGTAGTACAAATTAAAAAAAAAAAAATTACAAAGATATTTTTATTAATATCTTATTATAATAATAATAATAATAATAATAATAATAAAATCATAAGAATACTTTTAAGATTAGTACAATAATGTAAAAGATAAATACGATATAAAAAAATAATTGAGATGAGAAAAATTGAAAGCATATTTACTAACATTCTCTTGCACTGTCTCCTTTCAAACATAAGAACATCTTTTTTTTCCAACCAAAAAACCAAACTTTACATTAAGAAAAAAAAAAAAAAAAAAAAAAACCCAATATAACCAACATTCACATTGACATTACGCAGGATGTAAGAATTGTGCACTCTTGTCTCGAAAATATCCGTTACCGTTGTCGTCGCTGCCGTCGTCATTGTCCAAATGCAAAATCTTTCGACGCTTCAAACCTCGGCGCCTAGGCGAGACCGCCGCAAGAATCACGGTGCTGCTCAGCAGCGCCAAGCAAAGTCCCAAGCCGTTGACGACAGCCGATTCCGGGCACCGTTTTAGGACATCTCCTCTCACTTGTAAGATCGTCAGCTTCTCCAAAAGCCCCGTCTCCGCTGTCACCACGGCCAACCCGTAAGTGTAAAGTCCGAGGAAGACGTGCCACGGCAGCAATGTCCGCCTCGTTGTTCGCACCTCCCGTTTATGCCAAAAGTTTATAAATCCGAACAACCACTGTACCATGTAAAGATTAAATTTGATCAAGACGAGCTTTTCATGTCTGAGCTCAATTCAATCATATTTTTGCAAACAATATGTTCGAATTTGGCTGGTTAGACAATATTTTTAATTAATTTATAACAAAATTACATACTTCATTTGTCGCATATGTATGGATCTATTTTTATTTTTTATTTTGAAAATACTTCTTAACTTGTAATCAAAATTACTATAATGCCACTCTTTTATTTTGATATTTGAGTGTAAACCCTTCTACTTGTAAGGACATTTTTGTCCATTCACTTTATCACACTAGATATTATATTTCGGCTGCGGATTCTATGTTGATCCGACCAAATCAATACGATGTTGATTTGAGCGGATCAATATATATTGTCATACACATAGTCAACATATAGTTACATACAACAATTACTAATAAGGTAATTAATAATACTCCCTATGTCCCATAACAAATTATTTATTTTTTCATTTTAGTCGTTTCATAACAATGTATCTATTTATTTTTTAAGTAACTTACTATCTACCTAATGTTACAAATACCCTTACAACTTATAATATATTATACAAATGTTATTACTTTTATATCACACAATACTTAATAAGATTATTTTAGTAATTTTATTTTATTTATACTATATTCCAATATAATACTAATATTTTTAAAACTCTGTGTAAAAAGTAAATGAATACGTAAAGGGTAAAGGGTGTAAGTGATATAAGTGGTTCTATTACTAATAATAAGGGATATAAGTGGTCTAAGAGCAGCATATATATATATGATGGGTGTGTTTGTTCGAGAGATTGGATTTTGGATCGAGATATGAATAGTAAAAATTTTGAATGTGAATAGTTGTATTATGTGATGTTTTGAATGTAAAAATGATTTTTAATATAATATTGTATAAAAAATAAAAAATTGGTGTTTGATTTGATATTTTTGAGACAAAAAATTGAATGAATAATAAAGTTTGGGGAAAATCCCCAAACAAACACACCCGATGTTGATTTCATCTGCTCCATCCGTTTCATAACAAAGTATCCATTTTTCCATTTTAGTTCGTCCCTTTAACAAAGTATTCATTTCCTTTTTTTTTAATAACTTTACTATGTACATAACATTACAAATACCTTTACAACTTACAATATATTACATAAATATCATTACCTTTGTATCACACCTACTAACGAGGTTATTTTAGTCATTTCTATTTTATTCCTACTACATTCCAATATAATTTTCTCGTATTTGATTACTAATAAGATAATTAATAATAATGGATATAAGTGGTGGAAGTAACGGTATTTTTTTAAGAGGAGTTGGGTCGTAGGCTTTAACAACAGAAAATTCTCTGTCAATTTGTAGATTTAAATTCGATCGTGCTTACAGAATCATGTCATATTTATTTGTTTTCTTTTCTTATCTCAGTTATTTCAATACAACAACAACAGAGCTCTGACTTAAGATGTAATTCATGACAAGTTCCAACAGACATTCCCCCCAATGTAATAAAAAGCGATGATCGATTGAATAAATTAAATAAATTAGCTGTAGGTACCTGAGCAGCAAACAAAGAAATAGAGATGAGACCCATCCAAGAATGGAGTGTGTAGAAATTAGCCATAATTCCATCCTGGCCATGAAATTTTGTCCAAATCCCAAATATTCCACACCCTAAAGCCACACCTTGGAGGCTAAGATGCATCGATTTTTTGAGGTTTTTGGAACCAGGTAACCATCTCTGCACCAAAATGGCTGCAAAAACCATAACCACAAGGATTACTTAATTACTTACTTATGTGGATAATAACATTTAATTGAATGAATTGAATTTACCTTCTCCACTGATGAGGATGAAACCAATTACCATGAACAAAGGGTGCAACACCTGCAAATTCAATTCAATTCAAAGAAGAAGAAGAAGAAGAAGTGTAAATTGAATAATTCTTACATACAGCAAAAATGAGGTCATGAGCTGCAGGTTGTTGAGAAGGGAGGAAGCTTGTCTGGAAATGGAGGGCCCAAATGAGGACAAGAATTGCTGCCATGGAACCTGAGATTAATCTCCCCAAAAACAGTACCAGCGACGCTACTGATAATGATAATGATAATCTGGGCATCGCCATTTTTGGTAAGGACGGCCTTAATTAGAGTGTTTGTTCGGAGAAGAGAGGAAGAAAGGAATAGAGCGGCGGCGATTCGATCCACCGACGGAGAGGTAAGAGGAACACTGCATAATGCATTATTATTATTGTAATTCTTAATCATTGCTGCCCAGAGATCACCATCTCCACTTTATTTTGTTTTTTGGAATTTATGTGTCTGTGTTATTTAAAAAATAAAGAATAATAAAAATTAAAAATAAAAATAAATTTTGTTTTTCGGCTTTAAAGATATTAAATATCAACAATAGTATATTTTTAATCCTATTAAATACTGTAACAAATAAAAATCTAATTTAATAATTTTGAAAGAAATAAATAGTAACAAGATTGTGGGTGTGTTCTAGTTGCAATTTTTTACCCACTTTTGTATTTTTCAATTTAAAAATATATATATATAAATTAATTTATTTCTTCTCAAAAGCTATCGGCTATTAAACAAAAATATATAAAAATAATTTATTTATTTTTTTTAAAAAAAACAAAATATTAGACAATTAGGCGAGAAATTTACAGTAGATTAAATAAAAAGCTGGATTTTGTTGTAAATACAAGTGAATTATAAATATTTTTAATTTTGAATAATAAAATACATATTGATAATTACGGTATATATATACATAACCAAAATTAAAATATCCTTAATTTTCTAGAGTATGTATGTTTGTGGGCATGAGTTTCTGAATTTAAATTTTTTAACAATAAAAAAATAATTTTGAATAGTAGTTTCATGTGATATTTATATAAATAAATATTAATATAAAGTTTTAAATATAAAATTATATATATTTAATTTGATATGTTTTTGAATATATATATATATATATAAATAGTAAAAATGTGTAGTAAAATAAAAAACACATCCCTACAGTCTCAATGGGACTATTTGCAATAGCCAAATTGTGTCAATAAAGACAATTCCATCCCTATCTATCAAATTTCAATTTTCTTCTCCAAAACTATTAAATCAATCATAACCTTATTAAACATTTACTACATCAAATTAACCACCTATTTAATTTGATTTCTACATTAAAATCAAATCCCATTCCCAAAAAATCAATCCAATCCTAACAAAGGCACAAAATTTGCAAAAATCCCAAGAAAGAAATATGCAAGCAAAGATCGATCATAACAAGAATTCATCACACAACTTCACTAGCCACTGCCCTTTTACCCTTCTTACCTTCCAACAACACATACTACACATCATTCTACTTTTACACAGCCTCCCGACGAAAACCCAAACCAACGGAATGGGAAATATATCGACTCAGACCCGTATTTTTTACCCGAAACATCAAATAAACGAACAAACGGGGGACAAGGCGGAAGAAAGGTTCGATCAGGGCAGGGCGGCAACAAAAGATCATATACCGTCGCATATCTAACTTTCTCTCGGTTTCACACACATAATCGAAACAGAAATTCATAGACATAAAGGGTAAAGTTCTAAAGCAAGTACCGTTGCAATCCCGATCCGCTTTTTTGCATAAAAATTAAAAATCGATTCCCGACTGGTTTAGGAAGCACGGCCCGGCATGCCACGGCCGCCGCGGCCCCTACCCATATGGTAGCTGTTGTATCCGCCGTTACCCCTTCCGTAGTATGAACCACGGAACCGACCGCCACCGCGACCTGGGCCACGCCCACCGCGACCGCCATGGTACCTCGAAAAATCACCAAACGTCTGCATCCACCGGAAATTATGTCAGCAAATTCTAAAAGAGTGTTTAGTTTTAACTTTTTCACAAATATTATAGAACGAATTCAAAATCTTTCTATTTTTGCTCAATAAAAATAATCATTCACTAATACCAAAATACTTTTATCTGTTACTTAAATTACAAATATACAAGTACACATACAATTGATTTGTATATAATCAAAACTTCTAATACACTTCAATTGATCAATAAAATACTATTACCTTTTAATTTAATACAGTAACCCAAAAAAGTACATTCAAGTGGAGACGGAGGGAGAATTAGGAATCATAAATCAAATATCAATTGAATAAATTCCCACCAACCTAACTTTCAATTTAAAATGATAAAATCCAATTGGTAACCAAATAGTACTGACTCAGACATACCTCAGTGTCCAACTTCATTTGCTCCGAATACCGAGTTCTACCATGATTGGGATTGTTGTCGAGCGAATTGCAAGACAGGGAATCGAAGAAGTCATCCTTGTTGTAGACAGCCTGAAAATTTGCACGTAAATGGTGAAGTTCTTATTACAAATTGTCGATAATAAATCAGGAAACATGTGCCTAGCTATGGTTACCTTGGACTTGATCTTCGGCAATTCGCTGTCATCCTCGTCGGGTATCTCTTCTTCACTGTCACTTCCATTTCCTTCTTTATCTTTCGATTTGGATCTGTTACTTTTTCCCAAGTGACCCCAAACTTCGTCCTTTTTGAACTTCTCATTCATAGCCATAAAATCAAATTCTTCTGCGAATTCCGTCACGGGGCGTGACATCTGCCAGGCAAAAATTTAACACATGTTCAAACTGTCAGCAGATTTAAATAAAGAGGAAGCATAACAAATAATACACAACATTCATTGCTGGGAACTTCTAGTAGGAAATTAGCTATGTTTTTAACCCAACCATTCATTGAAGGGCCTACTAAGGTGAAATCGTTTGATAAAGTTACAGAAGGAACTAATCTCTTCAGTGAATCAATAAGCAGGCCCCGCTATATACGGGACAGGTAAATTGAAGTGTCGTGTAAAAGGATCTTATGTTAATAGAAATAATACACCTTCAAAATTCCATAACTTAGCGCAAAAAATAGGTTGCAAGGAGAACATTATATTAATTGACTGCGATAACTGCTACAAAGTATTTAAAAAAAAAAAAGCTGCTATTGCAATCATATTGTAACTCCTAGGACATACACAATAGTTGAGGACTAAGTGATGGAACTCACATAGGTTTATAAAGAATATTTATTAAAAAGATGTCAATCAGGTGTCGAAATAAATTAGTGCATATAATACATGATGAGGGAAAGACAACTTATAAAATAGAAAAAGTTGTTACCCCAAGTCCTCTTCCACCACGCCCTCTATAATGATTTCGCATGTGATAAGTACCTGCATTGGGCTGAAAGAACAAGAAGATAAAACATATATCCATAACAATTTATTACGTAAGCATTCAACAGCAAATTTGGAATGAAGTTTAGTTGACAAGAAAAGTGAAAGGTTTAACTTTTTGTTTCTGAGAGAAAAACAATAAATAATAGTCCTAATCTCATTTAAGACAAAAAGCTAGAATCGTAATATTATCAAATACCTAGCTGAATAACTATATCAGGGAGTTTTTCCAGTTAAGGTTTTAAAGCCCCAACGTGGCAGTACCTAATCTTAAGATTTTTCTAAGTTGCTAAAAAAACCTTTCGACATTCAATATGGTCTTTGTCCCATGAAAGGCGGCGCAACATACTATTAAATGAACCCAAGTTCTAGCCAATAATAAATAATAATGATAAAACTCAAAAATTTCGAAGAACATGCTTAATAAATGAAGGATTTGCAAAAAACACTCCAGCATACATAATGTGAATAGAAAAGACAACCTTGTAAGCTCTTGTGCTCGGGGGCAATGGCAAGATTGGAGGTTGAGCTTCAGTTGCCACAGGCACCGAAAGCGTTGGCGACACATGATCAATTTCCACATCTTTATGCATTGCTGTCTGTGAAGGTTGGGGTGCAGAAGCCGTAGAAGGTCCAGGCTGCAGCAGCTGGCCCGGGGTTATAAGTGAAGGTGTCAGTGATTCCATAACAACAGAACCGGAAGTTCCAGAAGCAGATGTTACTGTCTGAGACGCAGTCGCCTGAGGTAAAGCCACCGGACCAGGAGCTGCACTAGATTTGTTACCAATTGGAGGCATTCCCACACTATCAGGAACCGAAGAAGTAGAAAGCGCAGACAATGGTGGCAAGCTAGAGTTTTGCACTGATGATGGGATGGTAGGGGCGAGAGGCTTGTTCGGCAACAGATTGGTTGTTTCAGATGCAGGTAAGGACACAGAAGATAGCGGCGGGACATTCAAAGGCAGAGATGAAGCCGGTAAGGTACTGGATGTTAAACTAGCGGCACTTGTGTTGTTGGGAACCAAAGAAGGATAATCTGGCAAACCAGAACCGGGAACACTCGATCCTGTTGTCGGCAAAGATGTATTGAAACCAGAAAATTGCATCTGCTGCATGGAAGGAGGGATCGACAAGCCAGGAGGTGGTCGGAGCAATGACTGTTGAGGCAATTGAGGTAGCCCACTGGGTGCGCCGTAAAATCCCTGCCAATACATAGGTACGGCCATTCCACTATTGTTAGCATTTGGTGGAGCAGGTCCCCACGAATTCAAGTTTCCTCCAGGTTGATATAAAGGTACGCCGCTTTGAAAATTTGAACCGGGAAGTCCGGTTTGAGTAGAATGAGAACCAAGATCGCCTAAAGCTCCCCCGGTTGGGGCTGGAGGCAAGGTTGTGGGTGGGGCTGCAGGGCGAGGATAATGAGACTGCACCAGATTTACGATTGGTTAGGTTAAATAGAGATAAACGACATTATTACTATAGTTGTTGTATTACTTGCCTGGATAATTGCAGGATCGCTGTTTATGGATGGTGTAGTTTGTACTGGTGGAGAAGCTTTTACTTGTAAATCCTGCAAAAAATAGATTTTGCATTATGGTAGCAGAAAATTATACGGAAAAAATATTAAATTTGCTAATAGAATATAAACATGATAAGTGACAATGAGTAGTATGCAGAAGCAAGATTGCATCTACTATTGGTGTAGGCTTTTGCTACGTTGACAAAACAAATGCCACATGCTCCATAGGCTCCAAATGAATTAGGAAAATAGAGGAAAGGGAACAAGCCAAAAAAGAAAATCCCCGCGCTTTTATTAATATTGCAACATTTATGGAAATTGCTTGATTAAAACTATTCATATTAATTTCACGTGTTTGGAATAACGGAAAATCAACATATAAGCCAAAACCAGGTGATCTTTAACGGAAAAAAAAAACAGAGACGAAAAATTGGCAATATTCGAAACAACCAAAATAGTTCAGAACAAATAAAGTATGAAAGTTCCAACACATACCTTGATGTCGCTTCCTCTAAATAGTATGTATTCATAGATTTTGTCGCTAGGAGGGACTTGTGGGCCATCCTTATTCCGTCTTTCTGTTCCAAACGATCTCACTGGCACAAAGTAGTTTCAAGGCATTTCCTTAGTTTACACCAAGAGTGTCACACAAGAAAAGAAATTGGACCTTGTAAGACGTTATTGTGAAATAAAAAAAAAGCAATCATGGAGCATCCAAATGAAGCTCACAACTACCATTCTAATTCGAAAACAGCCCAACATAGTCTGAGGCATATAGCCAAAGCATCATTTTCGCAACACTGCAGCTGATTAATGAGTATGATTTCATATTGATTGGGGATTTTTAAAAAGCTCAAACTTACTTCCTCACATACTCAGAATTGCAGTTAATTTGAATCATCCATTACAAATGCCTATCGAAATCTAAATTTTGCTATGCTAAATGGTAACACTCCCCAAACCGTTGCACATCCTGAATAGCATGAAATTAGCAACAATCATTCACAGAATTCAAACAAACTCAGAAAATTCCAAGGGCAGAACAATCGAAAATTCAACAACTTCATTAAGATGGAACACATAATGGCGATAAATATCTCTACGAGCATTTCCTAATCGCATAAAACGAAATTCCATCAAAAATAAAGAACTTGTAAAAACAGTCATTATCAACCAGTCACCATAATCACAAAACGCAATCATGGCCTAGCGCCGTTCGAACTAAAAACCCTAACAAAAACTAACAATCAATAAAATTACGCCCACACACAAATACACAATAAACAAACGATAATTGAGACAGCTAAAGCAAAATCAAACAAAGCCAAGAGCATCCAAATTAGTCAGGAAAAATCGGAACGCAAAAACATCAACAACATTAAAAAAAAAAAAAAAACGCTTGCAGTAATCTGAAAGTTCTCACCGTTGCACAAGCCGATGCTGGACTCTTCGGTGTTGATGTTGTAGAGTATGCCTTCGTATCTGATCTCGCTCTTGGAAGTGAGGCTAATCAAGCTGCCGATGTAGGAATTCGCGGATGCCCCACCGGGTCCTCCAGATCTAGCAGATGCCGCCGCGGATGAACCCTCCACCGCCATCCCCACTGTTGCAGGACTTCAATCCGGCCAGGAATCCTAGGGGTAGGGCCGCACCGTATATATATATAGAGAGAGAAAGGAAATCGGGAGACGGTGGGGAAAGTAGAGTTAGAGAGAGAGAGAGAGAGGCAATAAATGTTGACGTTTTCTTTTTCTATGAGAATTTCCGAAGTGAAAGAAAGGGCAAAGTTGCCACGCCTTTCCTTACCCCTACCCTCCCCCCCCCGCCCCACACAATCAATATTGCATATATTAATATAATAATAATAATATTATCAATAATAATTACTTATTTTTAAATTTAATAATTAAGAAATTATTTTTATAAATATTATTTTTCCGTATAGGTGTCTTTTTGTTTTTTGTACTGGGTTTAAAATATATTAATATTATCTCGATATATACTCATTTAATCGGACACAAATTTTAAAAAAATATGTAAAAATAGAAATTTTTATTTTTTTGGATAAAGGAAAAACAGAAAAAGTTTAACTTTTTAATAAAAAAATGAAACGGAAATAAATTTGGATGACAAAAAAAAAAATGAAAGTGATAATAAATTTGGATGACGAAGTGAGTATTATTAGTGTTATGTGATATAAATGTAATGAGATTTGTGTAATCTAAGTTGTAAAAATATTTGTAATGTTATATATATAATACAATTATTAAAAAAAAATGATACTTTCTTATGGGATAAACCAAAGTAGATAGTTTGTTAAGTGACAGATGGGAGATGGAGTATGTGTTTCTTTATCAAAAGATATTGAAAAAAATATACTATTAGTCACGAATTTTAATAAAAATAAATAAAAATATGAACTTTTATTTTTTAAAGTAAATAAAAAAAAAAGTATTTCCTCCGTATCAAACACTCCAACATGTTATTTTTGTTTATTCTAAACATCCTGTAATATATCTAACATATAAAATAAATATAGCGGTTGCGGGTTCCCACCTCATAAAAAAAAAAGAAATAAATATATTTATTCTCTGCTCTAGAAGTACCGAGATTGTCCATTTGACCGAGTCGGTGTCTAACCATTGGATATAGTTTATCCGAATTTGCTAAGTATATACTCTATCTTGTCAGGTGCATCTTGTAGTGTTCTTATTTTCTAACTTATAATGGAGTTGTGTACGAGGTTGTACTAGCAAGTTTCTCGTGAGTGTCGAGAATTGTTAGACGAGGAGGAACCTTCTTTTCGTTACAAGTGGTATCAGGATTTACGGAAATAATTAAATATATTTAATTTCTACTTTACATTTAATTTCATCGCATCACTCAAATAAATATACATTTCTCTTACTCTTATCCTATCACTTAATTCCCAAATTATTAATACTACTTACCTAAATTTTTGTGTCGAAAATAAATGTTGCACCATATTTGTGTTGGTGAGAGCATTTTTTTTTACTAAAAAAAAATGAGAATAAATTTAGATGACACAAAAATAAATAAATAAAATATATATTTATTTAGTTATATGTAATTTAAAAGTAATTTTATAAAAAATGAATATTTTAAAATATAGATAAAAATATTTATTTATTAGAGAAATATATATATATATAATACTCCCTCATTCCCGTTGGAAGGGTGACATTTGCTTTTTGCACGTAAATTTTTTAATATTAGTATTATATTGGATTGTCGTAAAAAGACAAAAATACCCTTATTAGTATGGTGTAATATAAAAGCAATGACATTTATGTAATATACTATAAGTTGAAAGGGTATTTATTATGTTAAGTAGGTAGTACAATTAGTGAATTAGGAAATGACAACCTTGTTTTGGGATGAACAAAAATAGAAAATGGTAACCTTTCAATGAGACGGAGAGTGAATATAAATAAATAAATTTTGAATAAATCATAACAAGAAATTAAAATTTTAATTAAATTAATTTATATTTATTAAATATTTAAAATGAATACATTTATTTAAAATATAAATGAATCATATGTGAAGAAACATGTACTATCCCTTTTTACACTATTATTATTAAAAAAAAAACTTGACAAAAAAACCACGTATTATTGTTTTTTTTTTTTTTTTTTTTTAATATATATATATATGAGTTTGTTTTGGATATTTTTTTATTGTATTTTTTTTCTAAAAAAAAAAGCTTTTCTTATAAGTATATGCAATTTTATTCTCCTTAAATATATACTATTTGTTCAGATAAAACATGAGTTTGTATAATTGTAATTTGAAATTAATTTAAATTTTTATTTAAATAAATTTTTGATATTATATTTTGTAATAGTAAATTTTTATTAAAAAGTGTACAATTTGAATAATGGTAATTTTGCTTTACAATCACAAAAAAATAAAAAATAAAAAATAAAAACCGTAAATTAAATTACAATACACAAAAATTACAAACCAAACATATTGTTTTAGTTTCAATAGTTTTCGAAATAGGTGTGTTTATTTTGTGAAATAGTTTGAATATATATATATTGTGATGTATAAAAAAATATATAAATAATATAAAAATAATAAATATGTGTAATATATTATTTTTTTTGAAAAAAAAATATATATAATTTTATTTTTTTAAAAAAAAATAAATCAGTAATCATTGGTATATGTAATTATTGGTGTAGATCCCAATCTTGCTCAATTAGGCAGAAATAATCATATTCCATGAAAAACAAATTGAGCTTACAAAAAAAAATTATGAAATTTTAGCTATGGCTGAAAGTTTGTTTAATTATTGTATTCGCTTTCGCTAACAATTTAAGAATTATTTCTAATAGTACAAAATTTTTTTATTAATCGGATCAAACCGACTTAGGTCGATCAAATATGATTTTATTAGCATTAAGTTTGTTGCTAGACTCCCTCCGTCCCTTAACAGTCTATTCATTTTTTTCATTTTGGTCCGTCTCATAACAAAGTATCCATTTTATTTTTTAGTAATTGTATCGTCTACCTAACATTACAAATATCTTTCTAATTTACAATATATTGCACAAATGTCATTATTTTTATATCATACAATACTATTAGGGTTAATTTAGTCATTTTACATTTATTTATATTTTATCACAGATATAGGACAGAAGGACTAGTTTTTCTATTGAATTTTAATTGATGTTTGCAGACTGTCTGGCTATGCGGAAATTAATCGTTTTTCGAAGCCAACAAATTCCAAACATTCAAATCAAACTTATTGATGGTAGATTAGGTTAGCAACAAGAATGCAATTCCAATAAAATGATAAATTGGATCTATTTTAAAAAAAATCACTTTGTAGCTTATGCATACTTATTTAAAATATGATAGATATTTATTTATTATTTGAAATTTAAAATGCACAACTACATTAAAATTATTTGTCTAAGTTTAAAGTATTTATTTTTTAATTTTAATAAAACTATTTATACATTCATACCAAAAGACTTTTAATTTTATATAATACAAAAATATATTATTACACATATAATTAATATATATGTAAAATTAAAAGGTAAAAATATCAAAAAAAATTTATGTACTTTTACTAATCAATAAAATATTAGTATTTTTTTTATTTACTACAAGATTTTAAAAATCCTTTTAGTGCAGGACATATAACATATTATTAAATTAACTTAAAACAAATTTGTAAGGAATGACCCGATGGTATAGAGATTGGACTTGTGACCGTGGGTCTTAAAAAAAAAATAATATAAAACAAACTCTTTTAGAACAGAAAAAATAACATAATATATTAGTATTAAAATACCCATGTATATAGGGATTATAAACTAGTACATTAAGGGTGTGTTTGTTTGGGGGGATTGGATTAAATTTACACTATTCATCCAATTTTTTTTACTAAAAAATATCAAATCAAACACCTATTTTTTATTTTTTATATTATATTAAAAATTAATTTTACATTCAAAACATCGCATCAACACCTATTTATATCACATCGAATTTTTACTATTCAAATTCCAATTCAAAATCCAAACCCCCAAACAAACACACCCTAAAATATCCCATTTTGTCATTAAAAATAGACTTATTTATTTTTTACAGAAAATTTTAATATAACATGTAATTTTTGAAATGACATATTCTATATTATAGTATAACTTTTTGTTAAAAATAATTATATAGCAAGGAAAAACAGAAAGTAATTCTTTTTTTAATAATTTAAAGTAATAAAAATAAATATTTTAATAACACATTAAAAATTAAAGAGAAAAAAAAAATACATAATCAAAATATAGGGTGTGTTAGTTTATTAAACTTTTTACAATTTTTATTATTATTTTTTTAAAATACCAAATTAAACACATAATTTTTTTATACTATTAAAAATTAATTTTATATTCAAATAATTATTCTAATACTTATTTATATCACATTATATAACTATTTAAATAAATAAATCTAACCGTTTAAATCCTAAATCAAAATTCAATAGCTGACAAACAAACATACTCTAAGAAGAATCACATCAAGCAAACACACTTGTTTGGGATATTGGATTTTGAGTTAAGATTTGAATAGTAAAAATTTTGAATTTGAATAATTGTATGAAATGATATAAATAAGTATTGATTGTGATATTTTGAATGTAAAATTGATTTTTAATATAATACAAAAATGAAAAATATTTGATATTTTTTGAAAAAAAAAGGATGAATAGTGTATTTAAAATTCAATCCCCAAACAAACACACCCTAGGAAGAATCACATCCAAGGGTAAATATGTAATTCCAAGATATCATCTAAGATTGTGTTCTTTTGTAATTTTTATTACATATTTTTACTATTTAATATTTTTTTTTAAAAAAATATCAAATTAAACAATTATTTTTTTTATATTATATTAAAAATTTATTTTATATTCAAAACATCGTATCAAACAATTATTCAAATTAAATATTTTACTATTTAAAAATACAAAGCCAAAAAACTAAACTCAGAAACAAACACACCCTTAGCATCTAACGGTATAAGGGGTCTAGTGCTCCGCGGCGACAGAGATATTCTTCACTCGCGCTTCGTTTCTATAAAGCGACGTTCGAATATTCCGATCGCCGGCGGTTGAATATTCCGACAATTGTCCCGTTGCTTTTCTCCGTGCAACTACCCGTAACCGTTAACGTTTAAATTCTGAAATTACCCCCCATTGTTTTTTGAGTCCCAATCGTTCACAATTCACGAATTAGGGTTTCCTCCAATCTCTTCGGGAAGTGGAACCAATTCGGGGAATTGAATCCATACATCCAAGCAGCGATGTTTACTCCGAAAAGGCCGTTTCCAGGGCTGTCAATAGCACCAAAGAGTGAGGTGCGTGGCACGCCGAACCCTACTGGGAAGGATAAGCGGGTGGCCATTGTTGACGGCCCTCCGCCGCCGCCGACAGGTTTGTTGAACGATATTGGGAATAGAAATGAGGTGGAGAATATGGAGGATTGGAGGAGGTTCAAGGAGGTGGGGCTGTTGGATGAGGCTGAATTCGAGAGACGGGATCGCCAGGCGTTGTCGGAGAGGGTTCAAAAGCTCGAAAAAGAGGTGAGAGGAAATAAAGGCATTCTTTTGGACTTCAGCGAAAATTTCTAATATTTGATTTTTAGTCACAGGTTCTCTTTATTTTGGTTTATTTTCACTTTGTGTAATTTATGGTTATGTGAAAAAATTTGCTATATATATAGATAGATAGATATGAGCATGTTAGACAAAAAACATTACAAAATTTTTGTTGGACAAACTATTAGGTTTGTAATTGCAAATCTTAAGTCTTTGTCAGGACAGATGCAAATTTGAGTATTGCTAGCCTGAAGGGTGGGTTTAGAAATTGGTATAATGAAGATTGTTCATTTGGAAATATACCAGTTAACAAGTAGGACAAATTTGTTTGATGATGGTGCAACTTGTTCACTACAATCCTAGTATGATATTAAAGGATACTGTTTCAGAGGATGTGAAGTCTGATAGACTTTTTACCTACATATTATTTTTGTTGTTGAACCTAAGGATTGATACATATTGTGGTAATGGAAGTGGCTCGTATTCTTTCGAGTGCGCCTCCATTTTTATTATGTAACATTTCTAATCTTTCTTCCTTTAATATTTTGCTTATTTGTCCAAGTATTCTGGATTAAGACTTTGTTTAGTTGAGCTGGAGTTTGAGGAGAAAAGTGAAAACATATGAAAAAAAGAAAAGAAATGATAATTCAAAGATCGTTGTAAGATCAGTAGCTTTTGGTATCAAGAGGGAATAAAATTATATGATGAGTGAATGAAGGTTGACTCACTATCTGCATTTAAAATGCAGCTTTGTGTATCCAAAAAATTTGGCTTTTTAGAGTTTGTTCTATAAGTCTTAGCACGCCTTTCTTACTATCTGTTTGGTCATCTTTGTGGCGTGAGTGTGGGTGCAAGCATAAATAATCTAAATTTAAGAGTCTCTTTAAGTGCTAGCATTTCTGCTGTTGGCATATTAGTACCTTTCCGTGCCCAAGCTGAGAAAATTTTTCATCTATTGCGTCCTTTTTGTCTTTTTGGGGAAGACCAAGTGGGAAATATAACATATTGAAGATGTTCTAGCCTGTGAGATTTGGCTGCCAACAAGCATGGTTTGGATGTTCTACTTGTTCCAATATATTACTCAATGCACTTTTGATTTAATTTGTCTTTATTTGAAGGATATTGGGAAGATGTGACTCTGATTTCAATTCTAATATCTTCTTGGCAGCTATTTGACTACCAATATAACATGGGATTACTCCTAATTGAGAAAAAAGAGTGGGCTTCAAAGAATGACGAACTTCAGGAAGCTATTCTAGAAGTGCAGGAGGTCATCAAGCGTGAAAAGGCTGCTCACTTAATGGCCATTACACAAGTAGAGGAGAGGGAAGGAAATTTGAGAAAAGCTTTGGATGTTGAGAGACAATGCGTGTCTGAGGTACTAATTTTCTCTGCCCGTGCCACTAATTTATGATGTTTTAGCACTTTAATGCTGACCAATTTGTCTAAGTTGTGATTATGCACCCTAGCTCTTTCTTGAAGATGGATGTATGTTCATTCCTTCCTTATCACCAATGCGTAGAGGACATCTAACTAAACCTGAACAAATTTGGACAGGACTATCTTTCTCATAACACTCTTGTTAGGCCATTGCTATGAAACCTCACCTTTTATTGTTTGTTTTGAGAATATCTTTTTTCTCTCAACTGAATGGTAATGCCTTCCACTTCTTTCTGATTATCTGTTAAATATGCAGCTGCTATCATTATCGTCTCTACTGTCTTTTTGTCGAATACATTTTTCATCGTAGACTATTTCATTGTTTCTCTGAGAAATCTCAATACTAACAATGTCGGTATTCCTGCTTATATGTTCATATTTAGTGAAAAGTTTGATATAATTAATACATTAAACAATTAGGAGCAATGCAAAGCAAACATAAACTTGATATTATTAATATTCCATAAAACTATTAAGTAATGCCAAGTAAACACACAGATAAGCACTTGTTTTACTGGATTTATTGCTTCTGACTAGTGGAACAATCCTTTCAACTCTCATTTTCTGTAGTTGCCCTAAAGTTGTTCACGATGTTTAGTGATGTGTAAATTTTTGTGTTGTATGGTAACAATTTTCAGTTTGTTGCATATATATAATATCAATGTGTGTGAATAAATTAAATTGAATATTTCCTTAGTTGTGAATCTCATCCATGCATATTGTCCTGATAAAGTGATGGATTCTTGCTATCCACAGCTTGAGAGTTCCCTGCGTAAACTACACTCGGAGCATGACAAAATCAAAATACAATCCGAGACTAAGCTTGCTGATGCCAATGATCTGGTGGCTGGAGTTGAGGATAGATCATCGGAAATACAACAAAGGTTGCTTCTTGCTGATTCGAAGCTTGCCGAGGCAAGTAGGAGGAGTTTAGAATTGGAAAGGAAATTGCAAGAGGTTGAGACGCGTGAAAGTGTACTTAAGAGGGAGCGGATGTCCTTCAATTCCGAGTATGATTAATGATTAATGCTTAATGCTTAATGTTATTGATCTTACCAAGTGTTATTTTGCTGGTAAATCTCAGTATCTTTATTTCTCTTTCATCTTTTTATCAGGCGGGATGCACATGAAGCATCTTTTAGGAAGCACAAAGAAGATATGCTGGAGTGGGAAAAGAAGCTGCAAGAAGGGGAGGAAAGGCTTTGTCAGGGTCGGAGAGATATTAATGAGAGGGAGGAAAGAGTGAATGAATTCAACAGGGTGTTCAAGGATAAAGAGAAGGAAATTGTCGAAGAACAAAAGAAGGTTGAGTTGGAAAATTTGACCCTGAAGAAAAAACAAGATGATGTTGATAAGAAACTGGCTGACTTATCTGTGAAAGAGGAAGTGAGTAATTACTTGCATCCTATTTACAAAGATTCATTTACTGTCTTTTGATTATCGATTTGTCTATTGCTCTGCAGAAGGTCGAATCCCTCAGACGCAATCTAGAGATGAAGGAGAAGGAGATAAATGCATTGACTGAGAAGCTAAGCACTAGAGAGAAAGTGAGTTGATTTGTCTAGGTTTGAAATTCCTTGTTTTCAAGATGCCTCGTCTAATTCTAGGAATGTTTGTCGTTATAGGTGGAGATCCAGAACCTTCTTGATGGACACCAGTCTGCCTTGGACATAAAACAGCAGGAATTTGAATCAGAACTCGAGAAGAAACGAAGATTTTTTGAGGAGGAGATGAAAGTGAAACACAATGAGTTGGATAAAAGGGAGAGCGAAATAAACCATTTGGAGGAAAAGTTGAAAAAACAGGAGCAAGCTCTGGAAAAGAAGTTGGAGCGGTCTAAGGAGAAGGAGAAAGACGTCGAATCGAAGTTGAAAGGCCTGAAGGAAAAAGAGAAAGCAATCAAGTTAGACGAGAAAAATCTAAACATGCTTAGAAGAGAACTAGCTTCAGAGAAAGAAAACCTGCACACTCTTCAAGAAGAGATTGAGGAGACGAAAGCTGAAATCAGTCGGAAAGAAATGCAAATCCAAAGTGAGGATGAAAAGCTTAGTGTTACTGCCAAAGAGAGGAAGGAACACGACCGCTTGATACTGGAATTAAAACAGGAGATTGAGAAGTATCGGCATCAGATTGATTTGCTTGGTAAGGAAAGGGATGCATTGAAGCAAGATAGGGATAAATTTGAGGAAGAATGGGAGACCCTCGATGCAAAGAAATCAGAGCTTGCGCAAGACTTAAAACAACTTGAACGAGAGAAAGAGACGATTGAGAAAGCAAAGCACACTGGAGAAAAGCAGTTGCGAGAAGACAAAGTTGCAACCGAGGATTATATTAAGAGAGAATTGGAGGCTCTTACACTCCAGAAGGAGTCTTTTGCTGCCACAATGAAGCACGAGCGGTCAGTGTTATCAGAAAAAGCTCAAAACGAACATAGCCAATTAATCAATGATTTCGAAACTCGTGAAAGGGATCTCGAGGTCGATATGCAGAATAAGCAAGAGGAATTGGAGAGAATTATGCAGGAAAGAGAGAAAGCCATGGAGGAGAAATTTGAGAAAGAACAGCACGATATCAGTCACATGAAGGAAGTCGTCGAGAAGGAAATGGAAGATATGAGGTCAGACAGGAGCAGATTGGAGAAGGACCGACAGACTATTTCCGTGAACAAGCGACATCTTGAAGAGCAGCAGCAAGAAATGCAAAAGGACATCAACGAACTCGGTGTTCTAAGCCAAATGCTGAAATTACAACGGCAGCAATTCATCAAGGAAAGGAACCGATTTGTTTCATTCCTTGACACAATGAAGAGTTGCCAAAGTTGTGGGAATATGGTGAGCGACTATTTAGTATCCGATCTTCAAATTACGGAATTGGATGATAAGGACACGTCTTCGCTTCAATCATTGGGAGACGATTTACTGGAAAAAGTAGCTTCCTACAAAAAAGCGAATGCTAAAAGATCTCCAGGTGAGAACGATCCAAAATCCTCCGGATCAGGTGGGCGCATTTCTTGGCTTCTTAAGAAGTGTACTCCGCGAATCTTCAACAGCAAAACTGTCGAAGAAGTGCTGCCTAAAAACCTGTCTGATGAGCTGGCCGATGCTACTCTCGGAGAATCCAGCAAGCCAGCTGGCGGGACTACTGGAGAATCGGAGACACCCAAAGGCGACTATGGAGCAAAAGAAGCTGGAGACGAAACCAAGCAATTAAAGTTAAAGAATCCTCGGCGCGGGTACAGTCGGAAAACTGGGGATGCAATCCACAGGACACGTTCTGTTAAGGCAGTGGTTGAAGATGCCGAAGCGTTCTTGAGGAGAACGGGTGATTTAAAGACGAATGAAGAGCAAGATACAAGGGAGGAAAGCCGGGGAGATTCTAGTCTTGCTGGGAAAGCAACGACTGGTTCGGTTCCCAGAAAGCGAACACGCTCTTCGAAAATGACGGAGACAGAGGATGCTTATGACAGTGACGAACGTTCTGAAAGCATTACAGCTGGCGATCGCAGAAAGAGGCGGCAAACAGGTGCTGCTACGGCTGTGCAAACTCCCGGGAGGACTCGGTATAATCTCCGGCGCCCTAAGACGTAAGTTTTAAATTCTCCAATTTTAACAACTCGGCCAATATTGTTTCCTCACTATTAAAAACTAACATATTTGTAATGAAAATTTTATCCCTAAAGTTCATGTAGCTAACGAATTCATCCCTAATTCCGTCAAAAAGTAAATTTAGAGATAAAAAAATTGCGTTACAGAAGTGTGATTTTCTTGTAGTGCCTAGGTTGATTTTAGACTAATTACTTGTGATTTTTTTTACGCGGGTGATATTTGATTTCCCGTTGTTGGTAATATTTTCAATTAATCTAGATTTGCTACAATGGCTGAAAAATCTATAAAAGCGCATAACCCCCTGCTGGCCATAGGTCTATTATCGATCGGATCTAGTTATTTTCTTATAATCGGCCTACTTTTTTCATATTCGAAAAGTAGTTTGAGGTGATTATTCTGTTGGTTTCATTGATATCTTCGCATTTAGATAAATTATCATTTTTTTTTATCAATTGAAAGTATTGGTTAGTTAAATTCCGGAATTTCTTCGTAGTTTATACCATGTCTTGTAAAGTTACACTTGGCGCCTGTTGTGTATATTCTAAGTTTTTCCTATTACATCTGGCTGGAACGGTATAAATTTTCTGTTTGTTTTTCAGAAAGGGAAAAGCCGAAGCTACTCTGACCGAGAGCGAGGTACAAGCTGATAAAGAAGTGGCCGATACAACTATATCACGCGAGAATGAAATAACTTCCGCACCTCAAGAAGAAGCCACGAGCCACAATGGCGGTGATCCCGTGGAATTAGCTCAGATTACGTCCCGTAGAACCTCTCAAAGGATCTCGATCGATAGAGTTGTCAGGGTAAAAAAAATCCATTTCTTATCTGGAAACAATGTCGTGATTCTAACCTGAGCAAACCATTCCTATGCAGTTTCAGACACCATCAGCCAAATACGATGAAAGTGCTGACGTTGCTGCCGTGAAGACAACCGAGAACATGGGATTGGCCAACGAGGTGGATAATAATACTCACGAGTGTAATGACGAGGACGGGCAGGACAGCACGTTGCATGGTGGCGAGGAAGAAGATGATGACTGTGAAGAATACGATGAGAACAACCCCGGTGAAGCGTCGATGACCAAAAAGATTTGGACATTTTTCACATCGTGATGCATTTTTTGGTCGCGTTGATGTTCGCCGTGATCCAAATCGAATGCTTACATTCTTCGGTAATTCCTATCCGTTGTCGTTTGATTGTGTTGGTGTATTATTTCTAGAACTCAGAGGATTATTTGCCTTCCGGACCGTGTTTTTTTTTTTCGTTTTCTTCTTCGATCTTGTTTCGATATCTGTAGAATGCTCTAAGAAGCTTTGATACAACGCTGTTATACTTGTTTCTTCAATGTTCTTGTGTTTGGACTTGGGGTTGATTGTTGGATTTGAGTTTACGAAAAATTAAAGTTTGAGTAGGATAGGCGTTTGATCTGATACAAATAGGCAGGTAGGTGTTTGACGGGAAAATATTAAATTTAATTTAATACAATATCATATTAGCTCTGTCTAAAAAAAGATGGGTAAAAAGTAGACCGTAAATGTCTCACATACTTTTTTTTCTTTTGAAGGATTTTAGAAAATAAATTAAAATAATAATTAGGGTTGATTTTTAAAAAGTATGAATATTTTCGTTGTAAAGTGAAAAAAAAAAAAAATTAAATAGGACAAATGAGCATAAAAATTAGTTTTGGGGTTATAAATATAGCGGGAAAAAATAATTACTGCCGAAATTTTTTTGAATCAAGCTAGCTTAACTAGGTTAAAAATTTGGATTGTGCTTAGGCTTGTCTAAATTTGATTATACTTAATATACGATACTTCTTCTATTTCATATTTATATATTCATTTGTTATTTCATGGAATTTTAAAAATATTAATATTATATTAGAGAATAGTAAAAGTAAAAATAAAAAGACTAAAAAATATTATATGATATAAAGATAATGATATTTGTGTAATATATTGTAGATTAGAAGGGTATTTGTAACGTTAGGTAGACAGTACAGTTATTTTAAAAGATGGATACTTACCAAAATGAAAAAATTGATAGATAGTTAAGGGACGGAGAGAGGGAGGGAGTACGATCTATCAAATAAATTTTAAATTTAAATATATTATAAAAATAAATTTTAATTATATATTTAATGTTTAAAATTTTAATTAACAATAAAAATATTATTCTTATCATAATTATATTTATTTAGGTTAATATAATTTATTTTTTAATAAAAATGTACACAAAAATATATACTTCCTCCTTCCCGCCACCGATGACCACATTTCATTTTTGGTACGTCCCGCAAAAGATGATAAGAATAATATTTTTGGTAAGTTTATCAATCTTAAACATACTTAACAAATATAAATCAATTTAATTAAACTTCTAACATCTTATATGACCACTCAAAACCTTTTTATTTCTCTCTCCTCAATTAATAAATATTTTTATCTACTTTTAAAACTTCCAATTTTTTATAAAACTAGTTTATGGTAATGATAAATAAATAAATATATATATTTTTTATTCATTTGTATTATATAAAATTTTATTGTCTAGAAAATGATATCCATATTGCATATATTTTATTAAGATATAATCCTAAAGATATTTAAAATACCAACAATACTACATATATAAAAAATAAAAAAATATTTTCTTAAATTGTTATTAATAAGTTAATAATCTAGGCTACTGTGTCCCTGACAAAAAAGTTCTCGCTTAACTTAACGGGAGGGAGTATTAAATAAAAAAGTAAAAAAAAAAAGGGTTGACGAGGCCAAAAATAGATTGAAACTGAATCATTATTGGGCCAGCCTACCTAACACTAATTGAAAACGGGCTGATCAGACCATACATGAAAAACGGAGTGACCAAAAATTGGAGCCTTAGTTAGATTAATAAAAATTTGAATTGGTTAATAAAGTGTTGATTAATCTTAATTAGCATATGACTTAATATTTATTTATTTATTTTTATATCGTAGGAATTCGCAGCCGCTATTCAACAAGTGTGCTCTGAGTAAACCCTCGGCGAATATAGTACTGCAAAAACATTAAACCAAACATCTCTTTTTTATTTTTCTATTATACATTTACACTAAAAATCAAATTTATATTAAAAATATTACATCAACATTTATTTATGTCACATCATCAATAATTTCAATTCGAAATTTTTACTATTCAAATTCCAATAAAAAATTCAAACTCCCAAACAAACACACCCTATGTTAATTATTATAATGTACTGCCAGTTTATATCATACTCCATCTGTCCCTTAACAATCTATTCATTTTTTATTTTGATCTGTCCTTTTAACAATCTATCTATTTCCCTTTTTAGTAATTGTATTATCTACCTAAAATTACAAATATCTTTTCAATTTATAATATATTGCACAAATGTCATTACCTTTATATCATACAATACTTAAAAAAAAATGAATAGATAGATATGAGACGAAGAGAGTATATATATATTGTAATCTATCAAATATGAAACAAGGCCCACGAAGGCAATGGACCTAATCCAAATTTCACGGCCCAACAATAAGTAGCCTTGCAGCCCAACAGAACGCCGGCCACTCATTTGACAGCTGATGGAAAAAATCAAGACGGGCAAAGAGATAAAAGAGCAGCCACATGAAGGCTGTTTTGTAGGAGAAATGCGATGCTTTGGTCGAGAAAATTTAAAAGGTGGAAAATCTATTCAAGAAAAAGTTTTATCCAAATTATGGATTGACGTACAGGGTATAAAAAGCGACATTCCAAAGACATTGAACATATTTTTCCATCTTTTTTCGAGATGTGGACTAGATCATGAAGATGACATAGGAGGCTATTTTGTTGAGGAAGATAAGATCCCAAAGCCAGGCCAAAGTAGATTTTGCAATCAAAAGATAAAGCAAACAACTCTATGGCTTTCCCAAGTAAACTGTCGGTGATGATTTTTTACACAACATATATATATATATCTATTGTATTAACAACTATTTTGTATTGAGATTGTATATTGTATCAGCATACATTCTGTATAGAGATCGATCATATATATTGTGTATCTAAGATACCATTGTATTTTTGGTTCATATATTGCTTGTGTTTAACAATCAAGTTGGAAAACCAACTACATATCCAAACACACAATTTATGTAAGGGTGCCTATTCTTGTTTTTGAGTCGTGTCTTGTCGGGTTAAGCTTTAGGTATATAAAAAAAAATCTGTCAATTCAAACACGATCCGAAATTCAAGATCCGAATGCAATACGAATTTTTTTGAGTCGAATTGAGGTCAATTTGATTTATTTTTAGGTCACCCAATAATTCAAATGAACTCAACACGAAATATGCCCAAAAACCTGAAATTTAGAAAAGGAAAATAGGGTTTGTCATTTCACTAAAGAAGTAAAGTGTAAATATCTTGATGTTAGAATTTAGATTGTTTTGTTTATTTGTTTAAATTAGTAATGTTTTATTTTTTTTATAATTTAATTTTTTTAATATTATAAATTTTTAATATTATAAATTTAAAAAAATAATTCTAGATCAATCCAAAACTCGATCTGACCTATTATTTTTTTCGAATTCGAATCAACATGCAGATTTTATAAATCCGAAACACCCAAACGCAAACTTAAAAGTTTTCATTCAAATATATAGAATTTAGTTTTGACACCTTTCAATTTATGTCTTCTAAGAGTAATAAATATTGAAAAAAATAATAGATTGAAGCCTAAAAGAATAAATCAACAAATTTATAAGGCAAAGGGACAACATTGAGCTATTATTATTATTATTATTATTATTATTATTATTGTTTTCATTGAGCAATTATTTAGTTAGTTAGCTTTGAGCTTTTATTTTCCTTCATTGAAATAATATACTGCAATCAAATAAACATAATAATAATGTAAGGTGGTTTTAAAGAAAGTAGAAATTCATATTTATTATGGTTCCATGATACTTTGCAATTATTTTCTTAATCATATAAATTTATTAATGCAATGACCTCTCTAGTTAATTTGTAGGTTTGGATATATTATCAAATATTTATATACATCATGTTAAAATGTTACTAATTTTAAATTGACGATGATTACTGTTGAGATATTTTAGATATTCAGTTTTAGATTTAGTAGATTTATATCTAGATTTGATCTAGATTACTTAGATTTGAGTCTATCGAGTCTATTTTGTATTGCCTATATATAGACTCTTTATTTAAATGATTAATAAGACAATCTCATTATTTTCCCCCAAAATTTCTAATATATAATTATACTTTAGGGTGTGTTTGTTCGGGGGTTTGAATTTTGAATTGAGATTTGAATAGTAAATATTTTGAATTTGAATAGTTGTATGATGTGATATAAATAGGTGTTGATGTGATGTTTTGAATATAAAATTGATTTTTAGTATAATATAGAAAATGAAAAATAGGTGTTTGATTTGATGTTTTTGGGGGAAAAAAATTGGATGAATAGTGTAAATCCAATCCAATTCCCCAAACAAACCATTAGCGCTGGATTGGGTTATTTGGCGTCGGTTGGCCGACGCCAAATTTTGCGCCACTTTTTGGCGTTGCTCTATTTTTACTTTTTTTAATTTTTAATTTTAATTTTAAAATTTATTTTTTATTTTTTTAAATTTTTAAAAAATTTATTTTAAATTATAAAAATAAAAAGTTGTTTAAAATAATAGAAAAAAATTGAATATTTGAAGAATAATAGTGAAAAATGGAGTCATGGTTGGAGTAAAATTACTGTAACAACTGCATATTTAGAATTAAAATTAGATAAATGAAGTTGATGGGTTGAATACCACGTCAGAATTTATGTAATCATTTATTAAAATGTACTTATGAAAGAAAAATATGTACATTCATCAAAAATAAGATTGTACATTTTAATATGATGGTTTATCTTTTCAACATGAGTTTATTGTTTTCAAATTATTTGAGATCAATATTTTACTAAAAAATAATAGTATAAATTATAGTGTAAAATTGAAATATTATCTATTAATTTATTTTGAGAGAGAGAGATTAAATAAATAAATAACCCACTCTACACTCTACTCTACCTTGCTTTTAATAACTTAATTTGAATTTATATTCATTCGTTCATACATAATTTGTTCATATTTTCTATTTTTGTCCGTTCCACATAATTTGTTATTTTTACGAAAATATAATTATATTTTAATCACATTTAAATTTTTTTAATTTTAATTAAACTATTTAGTTATCTTAATCTATAATAACTTTTACTAATATACTTCTTAATTACTTACTTATTATACTTTATCTAAATTTTCGTATTTATAGTAATACACCTATATCATAGAGGGAGTACAATTTTAGCTAATAATAATAATAATAAAAAATGTGTATTGTGTTTAATAAAAGCAAATGTAGAGTACTAGAGTAGAGTGTAGGGTGGGCTATTTATTTATTTATTTAATGCACAAAAAAAAAAAAAAAAAAAAAAAACAAAGAGAAAGTCTCAGTGATTCCAGTTTTTGTAGCCCTAAAAGAAAAGCCTACAAACACTTTCATTAACTCCTCATCTTTAAAAAAAATAAATAAATAAATAAATCATTTTATTATTTTAATTTATCTATATATAAAATATATTTATGCGCATCCAATTTAATGTTAAGATAAAATAAATGATCGTTTCAACTAAAAGATTAAATTGTTATGATACATATTATTTATTTATATATTTACAAACGGGAGTAAACTCGCAGGTAATGGGATAAACGTCATCAAACTAAACTTGTCCGAAGACAACGACAAATGAAGGACGGTGAGAATCGAACTCGCTATATTGTATAATTGTAATAAATTAAATTTTTCGAAAAAAAATTATAATTACATCGTCCTATATATACCTATTAGATATGAGCCGGGATATGTACATTAATGTAAATATATATATATACAATATATATTTTAACATTTAATTAAATCAAACAAACAACCTCAACTTTGAAATCCTTTTCTTGATTCAATATTTTTTTGACATACAAACATACATACAAACATATATATATATATATATATGGTTAGGGAAGGGTGTTTGGTCGTAAAATATACAAATAACACATATTTTTATTACATATAATATGTGCTATTTGTAATAAAAATATATGTTATTTATTTATAATTATAATGTGCGTCGTATAAAAATATGTCATATACTAAAATCAACTGATGTATAGACTATATGAGACTATATTATGTGTGTTAGTTCATGTATTGTATTTATATTATATTATATTAATATAAATAATTTGCTGCTAATAGTAATAATTGTATTCTGTTTATTAGCACATTACAATAGTTTTATTTTGTCATTTTCGTCTGTAAAAAAAAAAAAACAGTCCAATTTTTATTTTGGTAACTAACTCAACACATTTTTACAAAATTATTCCTATTTTTTCACAATAATTACATAAAGTAGGTTATTATTGTTTTTTAAAAATACTTTTACCCACATTATCAATATAATATTATTATTTTTTATTTTTCTGTGCTAATCCGAATATCCCTATTAGTTTGGAACGGAAGAAATATTATTTTGTTTAATAAATCTTTTATATATATATATATATTTATGATATAAAAAGAAATGTCAAGTTCGATCCATTCCATGGCCAATCACTTGTCCTTTCCATCACAGAGAGACAAAGATAGAGAGAGAAAGAACAACCTACCCAGAGAGAGAAACACACACCAACTTAACTTCTTCTTTATTTATTTATTTATTTATTTTTAATAAGTAAGGATAATTTAATATACTTCATCCGTTTTAAAACAATAGTCTTTGTTTATTATTTTTATCCATTTAAAACAATAGTCTCATTTCTATAAATAACCATATTACTATAAAACTATCATTATTATTACACAATTGCCGCTACTTTTTACACTAATATACTTACAAAGGCAAAAAAGTCTTTTACCCTTACTTTTTATCCACTACCAATATAATACTCCATCTGTCCCATTGAAAGGTTATCATTTTCGTCCGTCCCAAAACAATGTTACCACTTCCTAATTTAGTAATTGTACTACCTATCTAACATAATAAATTTCCTAGATAACTTACACTATATTACACAAATGTCATTACTTTTATATTACACAATACTAATAGGGGTATTTTCGTTTTTTTCAATACAATCCATTATAATACTAATATTCAAAACTCTACGTGCAAAAAGTAAACGGCAACATTGCACCGGGACAAAGGGAGTATCAATATTCCTTAACCCCCATGCCAAACACAACCTAGACTATAATTCTGGGACGGAGGGAGTACCTTCTTTCTTTCAATCGAAATGGGTTATTTGGGATTTTATAGTAAATTAAAAAGTAATGTTCTATCCGTCTCTTGACAATCTATCTATTTTTTTTTTTATTTTGATCCGTTTCATAATAAAGTATTCATTTTTTATTACACGAATGTCATTATCTTTATATTATATAATACTAATCATGTAAATTTAATCTTTTTATATTTATTTATACTATATCCCAATATAATATTAATATTTCTAAAACTTTGTGTAAAAAATAAATGAATATATAAATATGAGACGAATGAAGTATTTATTATTTTATTAGTTATATTTTTGCTTTTTGATTTTTTTTGTATAAAATAATTTTATATATAATGATATATTTTTAATTTAAATAAAAACTTTAAAAATATTTTAATATTAGTGTATGATTATTATTATAAAATAATAAATATATACTTTGAAGTGTGAAAAATGAAATTGATAAAAATAATAATTTGAATTGGAAAATAGAGTAATATTTTATGACATAAAATAATATTTTTTTATTGAATCAATAGTGATTGAAATTACAACCAAACCGACTCTATTTTATTTAATTTTTCATAAAATATCATATCAAATAGTACTCCTTCGTTCACAAACTAATGTGCTACTTTCCTATTTAGGACGTTCAACAACTATTGTCCTATTTACTTTTTAAAACACAAATTTTACATTTTTACCCTTTATTCATTTAGTACATTTAATCTCTACTATACAATTAAAGATAAATTTGTCTATTTATAACAAAAAGACAATTACCTAAAAAATCGTGCAAATATACTTTAGGACAATAGAAATTGGACAGATGGAGTATTTTTTTTCTTTTATACATTTTGCAATATTTATTTATAAAAATAATTTTAAATCACTTATTTCTTATTAGATAAAATCACATTAAATATCTAAATTTTACTATTTTAAAAAGTTTTAGATCTCCAAAAAATCTCATTCTAGATGGAGCTTTTAATTTCTCACCAAATTTCCTAATCCACAATGGTCCCTTTTTTTTTCTTAAATTTGATGTTTGAGAAACCCTAGAAATCATTGAATAATATCCATTGATAGATTCCCCAACTACTTAGGCATTAACTATCTCTCTTATTGACAAAAAGTGTAAAAAAAATAAAATAAAAAATAATAAAAATAATATATAAATAAATAACTATATCTCTTATTGTGTGTTGGTTTATTTTATTTCATTGGGGGACCCCTTCTTTTGCATTGATTTCTTAATTTGTGGAAACTTCATCAACCATAGCTATCTACTTTTATTGTGAAAATTCCATAAAACCCCTAATTTTTTATTGAAATAATTGTTGAATATATATAAAATAATTTTATAAATAAAAAAAGCGGTATATTTTTATATGAAAATGCAACATCACAATGATCGGTAAAATATACTGAATTCTCATGCAAAATATCGCATCAAATTGTATTATGCGTCCTAAAGCCTCCTTATGTTACATTTCAAATATTGTAAGGCACCATTTGGTTAGATAATAATTGGGACTTAGAAGGTGAGATTTAATTTAAATAAATATACTTGAATTGTTTTGGATTCGAAATATTTGATACAATATAAAAAGTATTTGAAATTCCGCATCCAACTTTGAGAATTCAAAATCTATTAATGGTGGTGTTTGTTTTGGGGATTTTAATTTTAGTTTGGAATTTGAATAGTAAAAATTTTGAATTTGAAAAGTTGTATGATGCAATATAATAAGTGATGATACGATGCTTTGAATTTAAAATTAATTTTTAGTATAATATAAAAAGTGAAATAATTGTTTGATTTGATATTTTTGAGAATTTTTTTTTTTGTTAAATAGTGGAAATATGATAAAGTCTTTGAAAAGAACACACACCCTGAGGGTGTGTTTGTTTTGAGGATTCTCCAAAATTTTCATTGTTCATTATTTTTTTTTCTTCAAAAAATCAAATCAAATATTTATTTTTTATTTTTTTTATGTTTCTTAAAAATTAATTTTACATTCAAAATATCACATCAACACTTATTTATATTACATCGTACAACTATTTCAATTCAAAATTTTTACTATTTAAATTCCAACTCAAAATCCAAACCCCCAAACAAATTAACACACCCTAAATATATTGTCAAACTAAACTAATGAATTCGATCAAATCATTTGAAATATCTTCGACCCAAATCCCTCGAAACAAACAGTTCCTTACTCCATTTACTACCCTATTCCTTTTCCATAAAAGAAAATGTAATGGCCCCTTCTTCACTTCACCTTGTCCCATTTCTACATCAATGTCTTTCTGTCTGTCATTCTTAGTTAAATTCTCTCCAATTCTCACTCTCTCTTAGCCCTTTTTGGCCATGGAAAGTTTGAACTACTTTAGAGCTTTGATTGTTGTCCTTTGCCTGCTCTTTGCTTTGAGCTTAAACAGCTCCAATGGAGATCATAATAATAATAATAATAATAATAATGAAGATGAAGATGATGATGATGGAGGAATGCCATCTTCTTCTCCAATGAAGATTTCTCAGAAAGAAGCTCTCTTTTCTGCCATTCAAGGGTTTGTTGGAAAATGGTGGAATGGTTCTCATCTTTATCCTGACCCTTGTGGTTGGACCCCAATTCAGGTTCTTCAAATTTTCAGATTTTTTAAAATCTTGTCTTTTTTTTAAAATTTTTTTTTGAGATGGATTGTGTGTGTTTAGTTTCTTGATTTTTATATCCATGGAGGTGAATTATAGATTCATCTTGTTTTTTGTTGTACTTCCACCATTAATGGAGTTTCTAGGGTTTTGAAGGTTGTAATGAATAGGGGTGTTTGGTTATTTTGAGTTTATATAAAATTAAGTTAACTCGAATTTGAAATGAACAAAAATTCAAGTGGATAGATTGGATTTCATGTTGATTTAATAACTTGAGATATATGAATCAAAACCTAATTATAATACTCCATCCGTCCCAAAACAATAGTCTTGTTTATCATTTTTGTCCGTTCCAAAACAATAGTCTCATTTTCATAAATAACCATATCACCATAAAACTATCCATATTTTTTCATTATTATTACACAATTGCCACTACTTTTTACACTTATATACTCACAGGGGCAAAAAAATCGTTTATTCTTACCTTTTACCAACTACCAATATAATATCAATATTTCTTAAATCCCATGTCCAACACAATAAGACTATACTTTTGGGATTGAGGGAGTATTATTTAAAATTTTATAATAAGAAAAACATAAAATAAAAACTCTTGTTATTCATTGTCATTTGAATTTGTTCATAGTTTAGTAGTTTATGGTCTTTTGTTAACTTATATCTTTTTTATGGATGTAGTTTAGATGAAATGATTTTTGGTATATAACATAGAGAATTGTTATAAAAATATGTAATGTATTATTTTAAATTGAATATTTAATTTTTATTTTATTTTTTTATAATAAGTATTTGATTTTTTTTTTAATTTATGTTTTTATTACTATTTTTTAGAATCGCAATTGAAAATTGACGTTGGAAGAACGGAGCTAAAATGTTATTATTATTTTTTTGTATGTGTTATTAAGGCCTATTCGTTACTGTATTCTGGCCTGTTTGTTGTCATCGGGTTGACTCAATTTATTAAATAATCTAAAAAAAAAAGATTAACTTGAACGTCGTGACAAAAAAAGAAAAAAAAGAAAAAGAAAAAAAAATTGTGTCTTTAAGGTTAGGTGTAATTGTTATATCTATTACTTAACCCGACACAAATATAATTCAAAAACACCAAATGATGTATCTGTGGTTCTCGGACAGGGTGTGTCATGTGATTTCTACGATGGATTTTGGTACGTGACTGAACTAAGAATCGGGCCTGTCCACGACAACTCTCTCAGATGTAGTAACGAGAAAATCGAATTTCCCCACCAACTGTTCGATTTAATTCGCCTGAAAACCCTTTCTTTCTTCAATTGCTTCGTTTCGGGTCGTCCGGCGAATATTCCGGCGGAAAATTGGGGATTTCTCGCCGGAAGTCTGGAGTCGTTGGAGTTCCGGTCGAATCCGGGGCTCGCCGGAGAAGTTCCGGAAGGTTTGGGGAAGCTCGAAAAGCTCGAGTCTCTGGTGATAATGGAGAATTCTTTGACAGGTGAATTGCCGGAGAGCATTGGGAGATTGAGGAATTTGCGACGCCTGAATCTCGCCGGGAATTTATTCTCCGGCGGAATTCCGGCGGGGATGACTTCGCTCGATCGTCTATTGATTCTCGACCTGAGCAACAATTCCCTGTCGGGATTCTTGCCGGAATCTTTTTCAGGCCTGGTTTCCGTAATGAAGCTGGATTTAAGCAACAACAACCTGTCGGGGAATATTCCGGCGGCGATCGGAAACCTGGACAATCTGACGGTGCTCGATTTTCGAAACAATCGATTTTCCGGCGGCCTGCCGAAGTCCCTAGAACGCCTGACGTCACTGGAAGAATTGGCTTTGTCGGGGAATCCGATCGGCGGCGAAATTTCCGGCGTGGACTGGCGGCGCCTGGCGGGGCTGACGGCGCTGGACCTGGCGAATGCGAACCTGTCGGGGAATATTCCGGCGGGGATCGGGGAAATCCGACGCCTGAGATTTCTGGGCCTGAATGACAACAATCTGACGGGCGAGATTTCTCCGGATCTTGCGAAGCTGCCGGAGGTGAGCTCGATGTATTTCCATGGCAATAATCTGAGGGGGCGGCTGCCATTTTCGGAGGGTTTTTACAGGCGATTGGGGAGACGATTTGGGGGTTGGGACAATCCAGGATTGTGCTGTCCGGTGGGATCGGTGTCGGAAAAGTTTGTGCCGATTGGGGTGAAGATTTGCCGGCGGGGAGGGGTGGTGACGACGGGGAGAGATGGATCGACGGTGGAGATTGAAAGTTGGGGGGATCAGGATTCCAGATCGACGGCTGGATTTGCTTCTTGTTTTAGTAGTGTAGTGGTAGTTTTAATGGAGGTTTTGTTTGTTGTTTTGATTTGGCAATAATTTTATGTGTGTTTGGTTGTAGGTGTTAGATTAGGCTTTTTAATATATAGTACCTCCCTCGACTGTAAAGGTCCATTTACTTTTGCTTGTTAATTTTTTAATATTAAATATTATATCAAAATATAGTACAAAATTAAAAAAATTACAAAAATACTTTTACCAGTGTTTTATAATACTAATAGAAGAATATTCGTACAAAAGAAAAAAAATACAAATGTCAGGATATTTTTCAAGTACAATGACGCTAAAGGTAAATGTGACCTTAGAGGCAGACGGAGGGAGTATTTAACACCAAACACATATTTAACACCAAATAATATTAAATCGCTCATGAAAAGGAATTTAAATTGTTTGGGTAAAGTAATTTATTTTCTAAATGTTCTGTGATAAAAAATTATATATTTTTATTGAGAAATGTAAGTAAATTTTTTATTAAAATTTGTGTGAATATTAAAAGAACAATCTTTAATTGTACAAATCAATAAAAGGAAAAAAAAAAAAAACAGTAAATAAAAATTCCAAGACTATGCTATCCAATTCTTTCTAGTATATATATATATATATGCATATTTACTAGGCCCATTTACTTTTGGGCCATATCCCGATCGAGCCCAGTAGCTCAAGCCCATAATGTCATTGAATCGATATGAGGCTAGGTTTTTTTTTTTTTTTTTTTTGGCAAAAATTTACCATTTGGCTATGCCTAATATTTTTTTACCCAAAAAATATTACAAATACTTCTAATTAATATAACATTTAAATAAATTCTTTCTTAAAGATCTATTCCCTCAATCCCGCTATAAAAAATACATTTACTTTTAAAATGAAGATTAACGAATATTAGTATAGAAATCGTAGTTGATGATATTTATTAGTTATATAAAAACATTACCTCTTTTTTTTTTTTTTTTTTTCTTTTAAATAATATGAAAATTTGCAATTGCTATCCGAAAATGTACACTGATAAACCTTCGGCCGAAACTTGACGTTCTTAGTTTTATGTAAAGTAATCTAATGGTTTTTGAAAATAAATAAATATTAAAGTAATTTTCTTTTTTTTGTTGGATGGTAGAGTCACATTTATTAAAAATAATATATATATACTTTGTAACTAGACAAAGCCAGTATTACTTTTAATTTTGAACTATCAAAAGAGTTATTGTATATAATTTCAATAGTTTGATATTTTGTATTGAATAATTTCAATTCAAAATATTATTTAAAAACATTTTTAAAAATTTGAGACCTTGACATGTTAGTTTTATTTTTTATATTTTTTCATTTAAAAATAATTTGAATTAAAAAAATACTTAAAATACATTTAAAATTTTCGGAGTATTCCCAATCTATAAATCTTAAGAGTGAAAATTGAATTTTAGCCAAGCACCGATATGGTCCGGGCCGGCCCGATCCGGTTTGGAAGCGGTCCGAATAGGTATGGCCTGATTTTAAATCGGGCCTAAAGTCCTAAGCCCAAGCATGACCCGATAAGGCATAACCTAATATATATTATTATTATTTTATTAGTTAATATATACATATATATATATATACAAATATTAAATACTGAATATTAATTTTAATAAATTGGAGTGGGTTAGGCACGATCTGACTTTCATGGGCCCGAATACGGCCCAGGCCCAGCTTATTAGCGAGCTGGGACAAACACCATCCAAAAATTTTTGAGTTTATTTTTTGAAGTACAAACACGACTATTTCATATCATACTGGATCGGACTTTCGGACTATGCTTATTTTTATCTTCCATACATAGGCCTATGCTGCATGCTCGATCTAATATTAGGCGTTGATATATAAGGTTTATTGCGTGTTTTCATGTTTTAGCCGCTCCTTTGCCCCTTTATTATACTTTTAAATTTTCGTATATACAGAAAACTGAACATAAAAGATGGGACGAAAGAAATATTTAATTTGATATTTCATAAGAATATATATAGATATATATTTGATGATATATATATTAAACAAGACTAATAAATATATATATTCTCTTCGTTGCGTAAGAATAGTACCATTTGTTTTTTGCAGACAAATTTTTAAATATTAATTTTATATTAGTTTGTAGTAAAAAAAATAAAAATAAAAATATTTTTATTAGTATTATATAATATAAAAATAATGATATTTGTTTAACAAGATTTTGACGGAATCCATGAATTCACCAAGATTCGCTCTACACTAATATTGACAAATGAAAAAAAAAAAAAAGAAAAAAAAAAGAGAAAACAGTTAATTCCGTATTGACTTTATAGAGTTTGTCACACGCTGTCTTGTTATGTCAAACACTTCTGACTTTATATCACACTCCCAAAGTCTTACATTAACAGTTCATCTTTTCTAAAGTCAACCTACTTTTTTTTTTTTTTTTCTATTAAAAAAGAAAGTCAACCCACTCTTGTCAACCTACGATCTTGTCGCGAAGAACGCATGGTGAACAAGATTTGCAGCCAACTAATCACCGAACAATGTTTCTTTTGTCCAAAATTCCATATTTTTATTATTTGAACTCTCCATTTTTCGAAAAAAATATATTTTTCTCTTACAAAATATCCCATCATACATTATTTTAATAGTAAACCAAAACCAAATTTTTTTCAAACTCATCTAAAGAAACATACCCTGAACTTCAATAATATTTCGAGAATATATATATATATGTCGTGTGTATATATATATATATATTATAATGCTTGTGCTTATTTTGATGGTAATTGTGTTGGGACCAAACACAAAAAGATTAATAAGAAGAATTCACATCTTATAAATTTTATATTAACTCTAGTGGTATGAAATTTTTTGGAGAAAATTCAAGAATAAATTTATGTGAACTCGACTCAAAATGGATAATATCATCCTAACAAATTGAAAAAAAGTATGACATATTCAGTGTATAAATTACAGCCGAAATCTCAAAATTTAAATACTACCAAATGAAATTTCACATACAATATCATTTTGCAGAATAATTATGAAAATTTTAGCTGAAATTCGAAATTATTTGAAATTTACCATAAATTTCCAAAATTTGATTACAATTTCCCTAAGTTTTATTTTTTAAAATATACTCCCTCCGTCTCATATCTATATATCCATTTACTTTTCACCGAATTTTAGAAATATTAGTATTACATAAGATTTAGTAGAAGTAAAGGTAAAAAGACTAAATTGCCCTTATTAGTATTGTATGATATAAATGTAATGATATTTGTGTAATATATTGTAAATTGAAAAGATATTTGTAATGTTAGATAGATAGTACAGTTACTACAAAAAAATAAAATTGATATTTTGTTATGGGATAGACGAAAATGAAAAATGAATAGATTATTAAGGGACGATGAAGTATACTTTTAAATTTACCTATTTTCTTGTATTTATGTTTTGATGCAAATTAATTATACCATGCCCATTGACCTATTTTAAATTGCAGTAAATCAAGACGTTTCCAATCAATATATTACTTCCTTCCCTTCGTCTGAGCTAATTATGCGACTTTGCTTTGACATAAAAATTTTAAAAATAATAATATTTTAATATAATAACTAAAAAGTAAGATGATCGTTTTATAAAAAAATTATTATAAAATTGAAATAGGTAAAAAATAAAATGAACAGATTATAAGAAATTTATTAAATAATTAATAAAAATGTGATGTGGTAAGTAGAAAAAATAGTAATAAATTAATTATTATTTATTAAAATAAAAATAATAAAATTATGAGTTAATAAAATTATTTATTATAAATAGATTTTTCAATAAATTTAACGAATAATTAAGAAAATATAACGTAATTATAGAGGATGGGAAATATGTTATCAACAATAGTATCATCATGTTATGTCATGAGATGACTATTGTCAACATATCATCTCTATTGGTTTTATATATTATATTTTAAAAAATTTATGAATTTTATTATAATATTATTAGTTAAGTTAAATTAAAATTCAATTTTATTATTTTGTTTGAAGTTACTATAGTGTATGCCCATCAATAGATGGATTTCGTTTAATTAAATACTTCTCTGTCATCCAATTATATTCTCATTTGATCGGACATGAGTTTTAAGAAAAATATGTAAAATAAATTTTTTTATTTTTTTGGATAAAGAAAAAGTAGAAAAATGGTATTTTTTTTAATAAAAAATGAAATGAAAATAAATTTGGATGAAAAAAAATAAAAAATAAAAATAGATTTAGAAGACAGAGGGAGTAATAAGTTATTTATTTTTGTATATTACATATCAATAATGTTTACTTTAAAATGTCTAAAATAATATTAGAATGAAATACTTAAAATTTCATTTAAAATATCCAAATATTTTTTGATAAGTTTCATAATTTCTTTAAAAGTGAAACCATTATTCAACTATTTTTGAAATTTCTATCGAAATTTCTGTAAATTAATTTATTTATCTGATTTGACTCATTAAACATATTCAAAACCTACTTTATATTAAAAAAATAATCATTATTTACAAAAGAATTAACTCTAAAATTTGAGTAATGAATTAAGGTTGAGTAGTTTGCATATTTGGCACAATTTTGTAAAATTACATGTTTATTAATATATATATATATATATATTATAGCATTGTGTTTACTATTGTGTACTTGATATATATTTTTTCAGTCATAGAGTCAATTATCTTCAAAAGTGTATATACTGAAATTACAGAATTAGCCTTATTTATGATTGAACATACGTATGATAATGATGAGATCGGATAGTGGGTATTCGACGTCAACACGGTAATCAAATCGTGACAACCAGGGCCGTATCAGATTTTTTTAGGATCCTGAGCGAAAATAAATTATAGACCCTATAAACACATGATTAAAATATATTTTCACAATAATATCACAGCGGGACTAGAGGTTGAACATGACCGTCTTGACAATATCAATTTGAGAAAAGAAAATGAAAAACAGTATGTCCGGAAGTTCGAAAAGCGAGAAAGACCGAAGGAGGTGAAAGAGATAAGAGAGAAGGTGAGGCAGGTTTGGTCTGAGTTGGTGGCCGCAATGCGGTGTGAGGTAAAGAAGTATAGACGACGAATAAATTTGGAAAGATAGGGTGTAGCATGGTTAGGAAAAAACGAATCGAAAAAAAATATATGATGAAAAAAAAAAAACTAAATGTTAAATTTTAATTTTGAAATTTAGTAATAATAATGGATAATAATTTAAGATATGGACCATCTGCTCTTGCTATGAGCCGTCCCTGGAGACAACAATATTAATCCTTTTATTAATCACAACAAATTAAATGATAGATATGATTCATTTGAACACAAATATCTATATATGTTCTTAATAATATACATAAAGCGTGTACTCCAAAACCCCATAATTCTCAACAGGATCATACGAGTACGTATTCGAGACAGAATATCCTCGAGCCATCCGGAACAATTTGGTCCCTCCAACAACGGATAGCTCCCTATCCGTTTGACCAATCGGATTCCTCCCAACTACGCAAAGCGTGCTCCCGTTGTACTCCCCGGCCGTAAACCAAAAATTCAAGTTCATCATGAACGCTAACTTTTCCAACCCCAACAATGTCGTAAGCCCCTGAACCCGCCCCACTTCAGTCGAGTTCCTTTCGGGCCTAGAAGTCAACTTGTCATCTACAACGCTAATTTGACCGACTAAACTCGAGGAATTCCCTGTGATATTTGCGGTCGCAACTTTCCATACGGTCGCATTCGGGCCTCCCACTACATCGTGGACATAGACTCGGATAACCGCCGATTTCTCAGCACGGCGAGGCTCGGAGGGGCGAAGCGGAATCTTCATGAATGGATCGATTGGATCTTTCGATTGGGCCATGGTTATAGAAAAAATGTAAGATAGGAGGAATGTAATTAAGAGCAAAGCAATGTAAATTTTAACCATTGTTAGCTAGTTGATGATATTGATTGAATTGATGATTATAATTAGGGTTATTCTTGAGGGCATTTATAGGAGAAGGTTGGCAAATTGGGGATACAAAAAAAATTAGGATTTGAAGATCAATGATTGCAAATATATATATAGAATTGGGATTTGAGTGCAAGTAAGTCCAACAAAGCTAGCTTGGAATTAATAATAGATTGATGGATTAAATAATATTTGGTTAGTTAATCATTGTAAACTAAAATAAGTTTGGGGACATAGTCCAAAGGGTATGTATCTTTTCAATCTGGATAAATTAAATTTAAGAATAAATAAAATCTCAAAAGAAATGCACACAAGCATATCATATTTCACTACAAAAAAATAGTATATTTGTAACGAAATTCCGTTCCTAAAGTTCACGTAGCTAACGTAATTTCATCCCTAATTCCGTCTATAATATAATTAGTAACAGAAAAAATGGATTTAAGAACGAAAAAATCTTGTTACAAAATTAATATTTTTTTGTAGTGTTTCGATTGAATAATTTGTATATATCACATAAAATTTGTTGTATATATTGCTATATTTTAAGGTTAAAAGAGTTTGTATACTTTAGATTGGTCTTGTTTATATATATATTTATATATATTAAGATAGTTGTTAGATATTAGTTGAGTTTAGGTATTTTTGAAATAGTAAATATTTTGAATTATAATAATTGTTTGATATAATATGAATTGTGTGTTTTTGATGTTTTGAATAAATTTTTTTTTGTGTGTTATATATTAAATAAAATATGGAATATGATATTTTGGAGAAAAAAATAAATAAATTATTATAGGTGAAAAACAATGAAAAAATATGCTTAAAAAAAAAAAAGAAAAGAAAGCACAACAAAAAACAATAATAATATTTGTATATAAAATTTATAAATTAAATTTGAAAACAAGAACTCAAGCAAACAAATTATAAAATATGATGATGTGATAGATTTATAATAATAATAATAATAATAATAATAATAATAATAATTACAATTACAAATCGTATCAAAATTCTAATTCTAGTACTTACACAAATTCATCGTACTTTGTAGTAATTAGGCTTTGGGTTTTGAAATAATAAAATTTAAATATTTGATGTGATATTTTTTAAAATAAAATATATATTTAATATGATTTTTAAAAATATTATTTATAAATAATGTTATAACTGTTCAAAAGTATATGAAAAAAAAGTGTATTTGAGACTAATTAATAATAAAAAGGTATTATTTTGGTTTAACATATTCAGACCTAAAATTCCTTAAATATATATATATATATATTTTACTTATAATAATATAAATAATAGTAATTTGTTTAGCATTTTTTTTTATGTAAAAAACATATCAATTAATATTAATTTTTTAAAACACAAAAAAAAAATTTAAAATAGAGATTTGAACTCACAATTATCAATATATCATCAAATCATCAAGTTATATTCTTCTATTATTCCACAAATATCAAATAATTATATATATATATATTAAATAACATAAATATATAATGACCCTTAATTCTATTTTGCTCTGGGCCGGGGATGGGCAAAAGCCCTTTTCGCTCGAGCCCATAACTGGCCTTAGATATTCATATAAATAAAAGCATCTTTAAATTTTACATTAAATTACCAATATAATTAATTAATCTTAATTCGAGATATTTGATTAATAATTATTAAAGACTAAATCACACTTACATCATGGTGATTAAGTATTCCATGAAGGTTTAATTTAATTAACAGGGGCCTATATAATACTCCCTCCGTCCCAAACAAGACACAATATTTACTTTTGACACGAGTTTTTAGGTGAGTAGTATTAAGTAGGATAATTTAGAAATCAGGTGATGTGATGAAAAGAGAAATATATATTTTATTTTTTTTATTTGAATGATGTAAAAGGATAAAGTGTGGGGCAGAGATTAAGTATAATTAATTATTTCATATTTTGGAAATATTGCAGTGTATTTGGGATATACCAAAAAGAAAATTTTGCAGGATGTTTGGAACGGAGGGAGTACTATATAAAATAAAGATAGATTAATTTTTTAGTGATTTAATATTATGGGTGTATTCGTTTATAAAATTTTTATTAATGTTTTACTATTCATTCAATTTCTTTCTTCAAAATATCAAATCAAATATTTATTTTTTACTTTTTATATATATTATACAAACATTAATTTTATATTTAAAATATCACATCAATATCTATTTATATCGCATGCAACTATTAAATATGTTTTGTGACTGAGAATATATAATAAAGATTAAATATTGATAAAATAGAAAAAAAAAAAAAATTGTTAAAAAGAATGGAGTCGTATTCAAGAGGCCTATATAAATTTTTTTGAATAGAATTGTGTTAATCAGTTTGAATAATATTGGAACAAAATAATGTTAAATTTAATTAATTATTCATTTGTGAGTTAATCCGTTATTTTAATATGAGATTAGTCTAAATAAGCCGGCATGTCAAATCTTGATTGTCAAAAACTTTACTACAATTATAAAGTAAATTTATTGTAAATTTATTGTAAATTTATAATTGATCAGCAATTTGGCCAAACTTTGAATTTAAATTAGATTAAAATAGTTAAAAGAGATCTAACAAGTTTCTTTGGACGAGTTTGAAAAAAAATTAGTTTGAGTTTGGTATGAAAATAATATTTGATGTGATGTTTTGTGAGAGGAAAAAATATATTTTTTTTCGAAAAATGCAGAGTCCAAATAGTAAAATTTAGGGAAACTCGGCCAAAGAAACATACCCGGCTCAAGTTTTGGATCATTATATATATATACGCTAAATTGCACAAATTCCACCTGTGGTTTCATGAAAATGCACTAAATCCCCATACTTCTAAAACTGCGTCAAACTCCCTCATGGTTTCATAAACTTTGCGTGTAACCCCCTTAGCGGTCTTTATTTAACGGTATTTGACCTAAATGCGCTCAAACTGAGAATAAATTTTAGAATCTCAATTTCTAAACCCCTAAAATTACAAATATATTTATTTATTTATATATTAAGCCTAAAAAATAGTAAAAATAAACTCTTAAAACCTGAGAAAAATAACTATTATTGAGTATTTTTACTATTTTTTTAGAGTAAATATAAAAAAAATAAATATATTTGTAATTTTAGGGGTTTAGAAATTGAGATTCTAAAATTTATTCGCAGTTTGAACGCATTTAGGTCAAATACCATTAAATAAGGACCGTTGAGGGGGTTACAGGCAAAGTTTATAAAACCACGAGGGAGTTTGACGCAGTTTTAGAAGTAAGAGAGATTTGGTGAAATTTTATGAAACCATGGATGGATTTTGTGCAATTTAGCCATATATATATAACATGAGTTGACCTACACGAAAGCTTGAATCACTATAATGTTAGAACTTAGTTCGTTTAATCTAAATAATAAGTCGAGCTCATAAATATAAATTGAAAAATTGTCAAGTTTCGACAAAATTTGAAAATATAATAAATTTATAATTTTTACGCTATTTTTATATTAATTTTTCAATATATAATTGAGGATAGAAATAAGGCAAATTCACGATTGATTTTGCATATTCTAAAACTAACTTTGCTAGAAAATTACTCGCTTTATTTTGTAATAATATATCTATAGATATATATTTATATTTCTTTAGGTCATATAATATGATATAACAAAAGTTTTAAATATTGAATAGGAGTATTAAATTTTTTAAATTTTAAAAATATCAATTATAAATCTCGTAGTATATAAGTAAAACAATAATGAGTTGAAAGATACAACAAAATTAAAAATTGTCAAAGTTCTAAAAATAAAAATTAATGAAAACCATACAAATATCAAATTAAAAATTTAAATATATGAACATGAAATCACTTATTCCATACTAATCAAATTGAGTCATCCTTCCAACATGAAATATATATATATATGGTTTTAATAATATACATAAAATGTGTACTCCAAAACCGCGTAATTCTCAACAGGATCATACGAATACGTATTCGAGATAGCGTATCCTCGAGCCATCCGAAACAATTTGGTTCCTCCCACAATAGGTAGCTCACGTTCCTTTTGGCCGATCAGATTCCTCCCAACTATGCAAAGCGTGCTCCCGTTGTACTCCCCGGCCGTAAACAAAACATTCACGTTCATCGTGAGCGCATACTCCCCAAACCCCGATGAAGTTGTAAGCCCTTGAGCCCGCCCCACCTCAGTAGAGTTTCTTTCAGGCTTAGAAGTCAATTTGTCATCCAAAACCATAACTTGCCCAAATAGTGTCGAGGAATTCCCCGTGATCTTTGCTGTTGCAACCTCCCATACGGTCGCATTGGAGCCTGAAAATGCATCCTGGACGTAGACTCGGATAGCTGCCGATTTCTCAGCACGGCGAGGGTTGGGGCGAATCGGAATTTCAAAGAATGGATCGACTGGCTCTTTCGATTGGGCTTTGGAAATATGAAAAATGGAAGATAGGAAGAATGGAATGAAGAACAATGCAATGTGAAGTTTAGCCATTGTTTGTTAGTTGATGATATAATTGATTGATGTAATGATTATAATTAGGGGAAATCTTGGGGCTTTTTCTATAGGTATAAATTTGCAAATTGGGGGAAAAAAAAATTAGGGTTTGAAGAAATCAAAGATTGCGAACTATATATTTTATGATATCCATTTTATAATTTAATAAATATGATCTTCATATAAATAATAAAACATTTTTAAAATTTACATTAACTTACTAATATACTATTCTATTATTATTATTATTTTTTTATAAGGAAGGTATCAATGATATTTTAATAACATTTTAATCAATGTATTCTTTACACTGTGTCTACCCATAAAAAATTAATATTCTTTAGGTAAGTAGATACATGCAAAATGATCGAGGTATTTCGTTGCAAATTGTGGGAGCAATTTTAAAATAAAAGTTATTACACTTTCTTAAAATTTTCATATGTATCTTTAATGAATACCATTTTAAAATTATGAGGGTATTAGAATTCTTGATTAAGAATTTAATTAAGGTTAATTCGACGCCTTATTACAAATTCTTGAGGACTAAAACACAATTACATCATAGATCGATATTGAGTATTCGGTGAAACACTACAAGAAAAAATCATTTTTGTAACCAAACTTTTTTGTCTCTAAATCTACTTTTTCCGTTACTAATGACACTAGAGACAAAATTAGGAATGAAATTACGTTAGCTACGTGAACTTTAGGGACGGAATTCCGTTACAAATAGATTATTTTTTTGTAGTGAAAGTTTAATCTAATGAATAAAGTGTGCAAGTTGTATTTTGTCGATACAATATTTTGTGAAAGAGAATATTATATCTTCTTCTTACTGGGAATAAAAATTAAATAGTGAGAAAAATAGAAAAAAAAAATTGTTAAAAAATAATAGAGTCGTATTCAGGTTCTATATAAAAAATTGAATAGAGTTATGTCGATGAGTTTGAATAATATTGTAATAAATTTTTTGGATTTAATTAATTTGTGAGTTAACCCGATTATTTAATTTGAGATTAGTCTAAATAAGCCGGCCTATATATATTAAGTGTCAAATCTCATTTGTCCAAAACCATTATGCACCTTTAAAAGTATTATTGTAAATTTATAGTTGATCCACAATTTGGCCAAAATTTGAATTTAAATATAGATAAAAAATAGTTAGAAGATGTTGACTTCAATATTTACTTAATTTCTCCAAGTTTGGGATCATTATACATATATATATATATATATATCTATATATATGTAATATGAGTTGACCTACATAAAAGCTTGGATCATTAAAATGTTAGACTCATTTTGTTTAATCTGAATAATAAGTTGAGATCATAAATATAATTGAAAATTTGTCAAGTTTCCACAATTGGAGATATAATAAATTTATAATTGTCAATTCAACACTAGTATGATATTGTTAGCTTTGGACTGAGCCCGCACGGATTTATTTTTGGATTTCCTTCAAAAGACCTCATTGTAGTAGAGTTCACTTGAAACTTACAAGGTGTGTAATTTTCTTCACAACTTCCAATATAGGACTTGGATTGAACCCCAGTAGATAGCAATAAGGCGAGTTCGCAATTGATTTTGCAGATCTTAAAACTAACTTTGCCATAAAATTATAAGCCTCAAAAGTTTCATCCTGGTTCAGCTTTGACCAAAAAATCTAATCCATCTTAAACTTGTTGGATTCTTGATCTCGATTTATTTTGTAATAACATGCATATATATATATATATATTAGGCCATATAATATGATATAACAAAAGTTTTAAACATTGACGATTAAATATTTTAAATTTAAAAAATGTCAATTATAAATCTAGTGATATATATATATTCAACTGTGGTTAGTAGAACAATGTAAGTTGAAAAACACAAGTTGAAAAATTGAAAATTGTGAAAATTCTAAAAATAAGAAATAATAAAAATGATAGAAATATATATTTTAAAATTTAAATGATATGAATAATCATAAAATATAATACTCCCTCGGTCTGATAAGAAGGATACAATTTTCCATTGTTATAGAATTTCAATCAATGATAGAACAACAATTCAATTTATTAATCAAATCAAATTAAACAATACATATGATACAAATTCAATAATATCCGTACAATTCAACAATAAACAAAAATCACTTATTTGATACTAGTCAAATTGAACATGAATATATATATGGTCTTAATAATATACATAAAATGTGTACTCCAAAACCCCGTAATTCTCAACTGGATCATACGAATAAGTATTCGAGATAGAGTATCCTTGAGCCATCCGAAACAATTTGGTCCCTCCAACAATGGGTAGTTCCCGGTCCCTTTGGCCGATCGGATTCCTCCCAACTATGCAAAGTGTGCTCCCGTTGTACTCTCCAGCCGTAAACCAAACATTCAAGTTCATCGTAAGCGCATACTCCCCAAACCCCGATGAAGTTATAAGCCCTTGAATTCGTCCCACCTCAGTAGAGTTTCTTTTGGGACTAGAAGTCAATTTATCATCCAAAACCCTAATTTGTCCGAATTGTGTCGAGGAATTTCCTGTGATCTCTGCCGTTGCAACCTCCCATACGGTCGCGTTGGGCCCCCCTAACGCATCTTGGACGTAAACTCGGATAGCTGCTGATTTCTCGGCAGGGCGAGGGTTTGGGCGAACCGGAATCTGCATGAATGGATCGACGGGCTTTACCCATTGAGCCATGGAAATAGAAAAAATGGAAGATAGGAAGAATGGAATGAAGAACAATGCAATGTGAAGTTTAGCCATTGTTGGTTAGTTGAGGATATTGATTGAAGTGATTATTATAAACTGTGGAAATCTTGGAGGTATTTATAGGTGAAGATTTGCAAATTGGAGGTAGAAAAAAATAGGGTTTGAAAAAATCAAAGTAGGGATTTATTTTTATTTGTGCATTTTACACATGGATAGGTGGGTGAATGGGTGGGAAGCATAGACTTAGTTTACATTCTTATTTTTTAAAAAATTTGATGCTATTAATTAATAATACTCTCTCCATTCGACTCTAAGGATCTTATTTACTTTTTGTACGTTAAACTTTAAATATTAATTATTACATCAAAATATAGTACAAATTAAAAAAAAAAATTGTATAAATGCTTTCATTAGTGTCTTATAATACTAAAATTATATAAATATAAAGATATTTTTAATATTAAATATAATGACACAAAAGGTATATGTTACCATAGAGGTGGACAGAAGGAGTAATTCTTTTTTTTAAAAAAAAATTGTCACATTAAATATTTATTTTATTTTATAAAATATCAAACAAAATACTCAATTTTTGTAATTTTTTTTTATGAAAATTGTAAACTCTAAAGCTTCTAGATCTAAACGGTACGGAATGTTGGAAATCTTAGAAATTAATTACTCCATCCGTCCCATATACCATGTTCACGTTGCCGTTTCTGTCCGTTCCACGTACTATGTCACTTTCATTTTTTTAAAAATGATTACACACTTTAATCTCATTTTAAATTTTTAAATTTTATTTTTTTTAATTTTAATTAAACTAATTAGTTATTTTAATCTTAATTTATAATTATTTATATTATAGGATAATTATTTTCACTAATACATTTTTAATTATCTACTAATTATACCTCTCCTAAAATACTGTGTCTACAGTGTAGCAGACACGGTATCTGCGACGGGGGAGTAATTAGTATATATATATATCAAATTTAGATTGAGTGCAAGTAACTCCAACAAGGCTAAGATGGGATTATTTATATATTGATAGATTAATTAATCTTGGTTAATTAATGACTGCATTGAAAATTAAATTAGTCTTACACACCAAAAAAAAGTCTCTGCAGCAGCCTGGAAAGTATTTCAAATTTCGATTAAATAATTTGTATATATCCAATAATTTGCTGTATATATATTGCTATTTTGTCCATAGGTTTAAAGGGGTTGTATTTAGAATATTGGTCGTGTTATATATATAAATATCTAATATCTAATATCTAATCTAATATAGCAGGTATGTTTCTTTTGACAAAAATCTTAAACTTTTGTTATTTAGACTTTGCATTTTTCGAAAAAAATACTCTATCCATTCCATAAATATAATCTTAATTTGGTTGAGCACGTGACTGAAAAAATATTGATATTATATAGGTAGTTGGTAAAAAACATAGTTAAAAGACTTTTTTGTCTTTGTGAATATATTAATATAAAAATTAGTAGCAATTGTGTAATAAAAATAAAAAAGTAGGGGTAGTTTTATGGTGATATGATTATTTATGAAAACAAGACTATTATTTTTAAAACGGACAAAAATGGTAAACAAGACTATTGTATTGAGATGGAAAAAGTATATTTTTTTTCTTTCACAAAACATTCCATCACACGTTATTTTAATATCAAACCCAAACCAAAACTGTGTTGACAAGATCTGGCTTTCTAATTCTTTTTTTTAAAAAAAATTTGGTTGTGGGGTCCCCATCAAATTAATACTCTTTTCGTTCTACTTACCGCGCCATTTTTTTATTTTTGTCTCACTTATTTTGTCACTTTTTTTGTTTGAAAAGAATTATATAATATAATTTCATCTTAATTCTTTTAATTTATATATATTTTTTAATTTTAAATTAGACTAATTAGTTATTTTAATTTATAATTATTTTTATTATAAGATAATTATTTTAATTAATATATTTTTTATTATTTACTAATTATATTTCTAATAAATTTTTGAGTCTACAATAAATACGACACCGTAATAGAAACGAATGTAGTAATAATTATAATAAATTACTATAAGATTTTGCTTTGCATTTTTTCTAAAAAAAAATTGGATGTGGGCCCAATATTCTACTTATTATTATTGTTATTATTATTATTATAAATTACTCTCACTACAAAAAAAAATGATATATTTGTAACGGAATTCCGTCCCTAAAGTTCACGTAGCTAACGTAATTTTATTCCTATTTCCGTCTCTAATGTCATTAGTAACGGAAAAAATAGATTTATAGACAAAAAAATTTTGTTACAAAAATGATTTTTTCTTGTAGTGTCTACGGTTAAAATTATAAGTAGAAAACTATAGGCCTCAAAGCCCACTACATTCTTAGTTCAATTTTGACCCAAAAACCTACCTATCTTAAACTTGTTGGATTCTAGATTAATTAAAAAAGCTGTTTATTTTGTAATAGCATGTATATGTATGTATATAACAAAAGTTTTATATATTGGATATTAAATATTTTAATTTTTAAAAGATATCAGTTATAGTACCAGTGTATATATTCAATTGTGGTTGGTTGAACAACGATAAGTTGAAAAATACAACAAAAATGAAAATGATGAAAATTCTAAAAATAAAAAATAAAAAATATGATATCAAGAAATATATAATTAAAAATTTAGATATCAAGAACAATCATACAATATGTATAATATTAATTTCAAAAACTATTAATTCAGGCAAAGATTTTTTAATGCCATTATTATAAAATATCAATGAATGATAGAATAACAATACATTTATTAATCAAGTCAAATTACATATGATAAAATCACTTTTGATAAATATATATTATTATATATTTTCAAGAGATAAATTATAAAATTTAATCAATGTTTTGGATAGATTCATACTAATCATTGATAGAATAACAATACATTTATTAATCAAATCAAATTACATATGATAAAATCACTTTTGATAAATATATATTATTATATATTTTCAAGAGATAAATTATAAGATTTAATCAATGTTTTGGATAGATTCATACTATTTTTGGCATGTATTGATTTGTGCAAGGTAATTGAGCGATTCACGTCCATGCCATATTTTCGATTAATGAATTTTGGAAAAACTTGAATTAAACTCTCATGCTAAGAAAAGATGTGGATTACGGGAATTAAAGTTTGATTGTTGGCATCGTGATTAATAAGGAGCAATTAAGGGAGTGATTGAGGACACGATCATCTATAAAAGGGGGGTCAAGACATTGGATGTGGTATTACAATTCATACTCACTTTTCATAGTCTAAGTGGAAGATAGAAAAGGCTGTTTAGAGATGAAGCACTTTCGGATGATCATCAAGTTTACTGTTTTATTTATTTATTTATAAGTATGAGTAGCTAAATTCGTAGTCTAGTCCAATGTTGAATATAGATTTTGGATTGAGATTTGTGAGATTGTGTTTTGATTTAATTTGAATCTTGTTTAAGTAAATTGATATTTGTGTGATTTATGTGATTCATGTCTGAAAATTGTTTTATTTAATCTTTTATCGTGGCCGGATCTTAGATTGGTTTAGCAATTGTGTGCCAATTGAACATTTACAACCGTAATTGTGTATGTATTTCATAAAGTGATAAATAGGTTAACAAACTTAGCCTAGGAATCGCATAATTAAATAATTTAATATGTATTTTGTGGTGTTTTATATTTTTTTAGGGTGTATTGTATAATTTTTATTTTTTTAGAAGATGATATATAATTTTATATTTTAAAAAGTTATATGTAATTTTACTTTTTTTGAAAAATAATGTATAATTTTATTTTTTAAAATTAATATATAATTTTATTTTTTGGAAAGTGATATATAATTTTATTTTTTAAAAAGTGATATATAATTTTGGAAAAATTGTCCATAACTCCCTTGTGGTTTCGAAACTCAGCGTAAATTCCCCCTCTACTTTAAAAATTGTATGACGTCCCCTTATACTTTAAAAAATATTGTATGAAACCACTTTGTGGTTTCGAAACTCAGCATAAATCTTCATTTTACTTTAAAAAATTGCATGACACTCACTTATACTTTCAAAAATATTGCATAAAACCCCCTGCCATGCAAAATATATAGATAGGAAATCATCTTCTTATCACATGAGGAAAGTTTCATGGTGGTGGGGTTTCATGCAACGTTTTTTAAAGTATAAGGGGGTATCATGCAATTTTTAAAGTATTGGGAGATTTTACGCTGAATTTCGAAACCACAAGGGAGTTATAAACAATTTTACCTATAATTTTACTTTTTGGAAAGTGATACAATTTTATTTTTTTAAATATAACGTGTAATTTTATTTTTCAAAAGTGATACATAATTTTATTTTTTTAAAAAATATAAATTACATATGTATGGATTATAACGTAAAAATAAATTAAAGTTGGGGTGTAATTTATAAATATGAAAAAAATATAAAATAACATAAAAGAAGAATATATAAGAAATACACTTTTTAAAGTGAAAATTGAAGTTTATGATTGGAGTAAAATTAATGTAGATCAACTGAATTTTTATTGTAGCCACTGCAAAAATGAAGTGAAGGGTTGGAGATGGCCAACTTATTCGATACTAATCAAATTGAATCATTTGAACATGATATATATATATAGTCTTAATAATATACATAAAATGTGTACTCCAAAACCGCATAATTCTCAATGGGATCATACGAATACGTATTTGAGATAGAGTATTCTCGAGCCATTCGGAAAAATTTGGTCCCTCCAACAATGGGTAGTTCCCGATTTTCTTTGCTAAGTGGATTCCTCCCAACTATGCAAAGCCTGCTCCCGTTGTACTCTCCGGCCGTAAACCAAAAGTTCAAGTTCATCGTGATCACATAATCCCCAAAATCCGATGAAGTTATAAGTCCCTGAACCCGTCCCACCTCAGTAGAGTTTCTTTCAGGCATTGAAGTCAACTTGTCATCCAAAACCCAAGTTTGCCCGAATTGTGTCGGGGAATTTCCCGCGATCTCTGCCCTTGCAACCCCCCATATGGTCGCGTTTGGCCCCCCCGCTACATCTTGGACGTAGATTCGAATAGTTGCCGATTTCTCAGCACGGCGAGGGTTGGGGCGAACCGGAATCTCTATAATTGGATCGATTGGCTCTTTCAATTGGGCCATGGAAATAGAAAAAATAAAAGATAGGAATAATTGAATGAAGAACAAAATAATGTAAAGTTTAGCCATTGCTAGTTAGTTGGTGATATTGATTGAAGTGATGATTGTAATTAGGAAAATCTTGGAGTATTTATAGGTGAAAGATTTGCAAATTTGAAGAAGAAAAATTAGGGTTAGAAGAAATCAAAGATAGCAAATTTATACTTTATTTGTGCATTTTACACATGCATAGGTGGGTGAATGGATGGAAATTATAGACTAAGTTTACATTTATATTTTTTTAAAAATTTTGATACTATTAATTAGTAATAATTCTTTTCTAAAAAATTATCACGTTAAATATTTATTTTATTTTATAAAAGGTAAATTGTATTTTTAATCCCGAAACTAGACCTCCTTATCATTTTAGTCTCGTTAGTGGAGCCTGTCGTAAACTAGTCCCATAAGTGAACAAAATTCGTTGTTTTAGTCCTCCGGCGCCGGAAACGCCCACATGGCTTGCTGGACATGTGTCCGCCAGGTCAGCGACACCTGGCAGACACGTGGTTTTTTAATTTTTTTATTTTAATTTTTTTAATTTTTTAAAATTTAATTTTTAATTTAATTTGTCTTTTTTAATTTTTTTATTTGGTCCAATTGAAAATAAAAATAAAAAAATTTAAAAGAAATGAAAAAAAAATTAAAATCCACGTGTCCGCCAGGTGTCGCTGACTTAGTGGGACACGTGGCTTCAGGCGAGCCACGCAGGCGTCTCCGGCGCCGGAGGACTAAAACAACGAAAATTTTTCACTTATGAGACTAATTTGCGACATGCTCCACTTACGGGACTAAAATTCTAAGGAGGTCCGATTACGAGACTAAAAAAAAAAGTTTACCCTTTTATAAAAAATCAAATTAAATATTAAGTTGATATAAAAGTAGATACATTCCCCAATAATTTTAACTGTGATAAAATGATATTTTTCTAGTAGTGAAAAAAAAACCTTATAATTTATATTTATTTTTAGAAAATCATTAAGTTGCACTATTGTAAATATATTGAATTATAAAATATACTATTTATGAGAATATTAAAATATTATTTATCAGAATGGGTAAAAAAAAAAACAGATACATTTCTTCCTAATGGAGTGTGTAATATATTTAACTATAAATAGATGTATTATGTGAAATTGAGGAAAATTAATTAATTAAATTATTGAAAATGAATAATACAACCAAATGTGTGAGAAAAATGAGAAAAAAAAATAAAAAATATCAAAGAATAATATTTGTATAAAGAGGTTGAATAGGTCGAAAAAATCACCAAGGACACTTGTAAGAATACGATGATGTGATTGAATTTTCAAACATAATAATAATACTCTTTTATGTCTCATATATTTTGAACTTGTTACGGTATATACGTGAATTTAGGTAAAGTATAATTAATAAATAATTAAGAAATATATTAGGAAAAATAATTATAAATAATTAAGAAATATATTAGGAAAAATAATTATAAATTAAGATTAAGATAACTAAATAATTTAATTAAAATTAAGAAAATTCTAATACTCCCTTCGTCCCGTTGGAAGGGTGGCGTTTGCTTTGCACGTAAATTTTTTAATATTAGTATTATATTTGATTTAGTAAAAAAGACAAAAACACCCCTATTAGTATGGTGCAATATAAAAATAATGGTATTTGTGTAATATATTGTAAGTTGAAAGAGTATTTATTATATTAAATAGGTAGTACAATTACTAAATTAGGAAATGGTAACAAATTATGATTAAAGTGAATAATCATATTTCCAAAAAAAAAATTAAATTATATAAGTATGCAAAAATAAAAAATAGAGATAAATTATATGGTACGGTGAAAATAATTTTTTTTGCAAGCAACTTAATAATAATCAGTAAGAATTGAAAGTTGCAATTCTAGAAATTAGCCTTTGGGAAGTTTAGGAGCTTTGAAGAATTTAACAATAGGAAATAATTTAGGTAATGGCGTGTTTCTTGTGGTCCGGTTTGGGGATATTTACTGTGCAAACACTGTAAATATCCCCAAACAGGGGCTGCTACTAAATAAGATAATACATTGCAGACTGCAGCAACTTTATGTGTGCTTCTCTGTTTTGTTTTTTTTTTAAAAAAAAATAAATTTAAAATATATAAATAATAATTTATTTAATATAGAATAAAATTTTCTATAATACAAATAAATAAAAATTTAAAAATATATATGTTGTATATAATATAAATTTAAAATCAAATCATACTACTATTAATTTTATCAATTACATTTAATACACATTTATATTATTTTATTCATTATCCATTAAATCAATACTCATCAAAACTCCCAAAACCACAGTAAAATTCAAATACCAAATTCAAACTCATTCCAAAATTTAAATAAAAACTAAAACTCAAATCCAAATTCCCCCACACTCCTCTAAAGAAACACACCCAGACCCGGGCCCTTGCCCAGGGCCGGCCCATTCCCTCTAGGGGCCCTCAAGGGCCCCAATAATATATATATATATATATACTCCTATATATTAATATATATATATATATTATTATTATTTTTAGAATGTATAAAATAAAATTTAAATAAAAAATTTATTTTATAATTATTTTTAAAATAAATAATTTTACATTAATTTTTAAATTATTTATTTGTATGTTTTAGTATGTTTATTTAATAGCATGATTTTATATTTTTTGTGAATTATGTAAAATTAAAAAGATATGATAGAGTAATATTTTTGTATTCTTATTATTTTTATTTTTATATTTATATGTTTAAATTTGTATATTTAATTATATTTTTTAGTAGTCGTTTTAAAAATTTGTGTATTATATAAACATTAAGTTTGTTTATTTAATCTAAATTTTTTAATTTTTACTACTAGGATTATGTGTTTCTCTCTCACAAACATTTCATCAAACATTATCTTAATATCAAATTCAAATCAAATTTTTCCCTAAACCAATCAAAAGAAAACAAACCCTTAATAAATATTTTTGTTTGAAAATTTTCTTTTAAAGACTCTTGATTGTTTATAAAAATATTCTTTAAAAAATATTAAATCAAATATATATTTTTAATTTTTTATGTTATACTAAATATGTCGTATTAATTTTATATTTATATTTTGATTTTTTAATATATAAAAAAATATTTTATTAATACATTTATATTAAAAAATATATATTATATTATTATTATTATTATTATTTATATAAAAAAATATATTTAAGGCCCAATATTTTAATTTTGCCTCGGGCCTAATAAAGGTCAAGAACGGACCTGAACACATCCTAAGTATTTAACGTGATATATAATATGATACTTTCTTGAAGAAAAGAAAAAAAAACGTTTATAATTGATAATAATGCCAAGACTTTCAAAATAGTGTGTAAATAGAGCCTAAAATTAAAATGACATTATAATTTGATTTAAAAGTTTATAACTTAAGTTTAATTTTAGGGTGTGTTTGTTTGAAGGATTTTGGAGAATTTTTACTATTCATCCAATTTTTTCCCCCCAAAAATATCACATCAAACACCTATTTTTCATTTTTTATATTATACTAAAAATCAATTTTACATTCAAAACATCACATCAAATCCTATTTATATCACATCATACAACTATTCAAATTCAAAATTTTTACTATTCAAATCCCAATCCAAAATCCAAACCCCCAAACAAACACACCCTTAGGTATATTGGGTCGGTACATGTGTAATTTTAAATAAAAATTTAAGAATAGTAAAAAGAATTGGATTTGTTAGATCCATCGAGTTTTACTGGGTATAGTTTCGGCCGGATTTGGTATAATCAGATCCAATTTGGGTCTCAAGTCTAACAATATATATTCAGGAGGGATCTCAGTTCCGACTGAATCCGACTTATTATCATCCTGATAATTTTATAATTCAAATAAAATTTATAATAAATAACAACTTAAAAAAATGAGTTTATTAATTTATTTAAAATATATTGTACCATAAAAATTAATATTAATTTAATTTAATATATAATTCAAGTAATAATTAATTTTAAAATTATTTAATTTAATTTTATATAAATATATTTGTAATATATAATATATTTTTTATATAAGGATATAAAAGTAAAATTTAAAATCTCATGAAATGAGATTTAAAAGTAATAGGGGTACCCAATTACTAATAAATCATTCGTTTGTTTGTAGGATTTTGGACCCCTTTTTTAAACTTCATCATTTTAAATTCCATTATTTTTTTTAACCAAACATGGATTTAATGGGATTTTAAATCCAATCCCATGAAATCCTATCAAATCTTTGAAACAAACGGCCCCTAGTTAACAATTCATAATCACTACAAAAAAAGAAGAGAAAAGATATATTTATATCGGAATTCTGTCTTTAATTTTAGCTTCTAAATTATTTAAAACTCAAGACGAATATATAAGAATTTGAACCTAATTAACATAGTTAATGAATACATACAAGGCAAAAAAAAAAAAAAAACTGAGTTGACTATTATTTTTGCACATGCGAAAAATATTGTCTCATGTACAAAAAACGACAAAAATCATATGTCAAGTTGAATCGCGTCACTTCATATCACATCTCTCGTACTTGAATCGATCTTCGTATCGATTTTCTCTGATATGCTTTCTTGCTATCCCTTTCACTCTATTTTTTGGTATGTTTCTTTCATTTGCTTTCCTTCCACAGTTTATGATCTATTTCTACTATGATTCTATGGCTTGAATCGAGCTCCTCGTGTGCAAAATTAAAGCGAAACATTGATGTCAAAGCTGATGATTTAGTTTACATTGTTTGGTTGTATCGTTTTTTTTATTCATTGTTTTTTTTTTAGGATTTAATTTGTGATTGTGCAAGACAGAGCGGACTTTTAGCAAGAGCAACCTGAACCATCTTCGGGAGGACTCATATTTTTTTAATTTTATCTTACTATTATTAGATACATTACAATTTAATTTAGATTTTGTCTTTTATTTTTCTCGATCATTACCCAATCTAATTTTAATTCTAAAATTAAATTATAACCTAATTTTTCTAAAAATTAATTCTATTTTCCTCGCCTTTGTAAATATTTTTAAAGTGTATTATTATTGGATATATTAATTATTAAAATTTATTTCATATTTTTCTCTACAATTATCCTATCAAATTCTAATTCTAATAAACTCTAACTATAATTTTTTTAAAAAATTAATCTCAAATCCAATTATAATTCTAATAAATTCCAACCATAACTTTTAAAAAATTAATCCTACATTCTTGGCATTTAGAAATTTGTAGTTATTATTATTGAGTTATTGGTTATAATAGTCAATATATTGTGAAATTTTATAATAGTCAAAATATGTATCATAAACTATGTCCGGAAATCCACCCCACACCAGAAAAGTAAATAAATAAATAAAAATTTATTTGTTTAGAGGAACTATTATTTATTTTTTGCTCATGCCTTAAAAATATTCGAGACGAACATGGTGCAAGAGATGTGTTCCCTTGTGAACATTGTCTTTCCCTAGTTGATTAATATGTAATACTCCCTCCGTCCCATAAATATAATCTTAATTGGCTTGAGTATAAGATTTAAGGAATATTGATATTATATTAGTAATGGGTAAAAAGTATTGATAAAAGACTTTTTTCCCTTGTGAGTCTATTAGTGTAAAAAATAGTGGCAATTGGGTAAAAAAATGAAAAAGTATGGATAGTTTATTTATGGAAATAAAATTATTATTTTGAAACGAATAAAAATGGTAAACAATACTATTGTACTGAGACAAGGGAATAATTGATTAGATTCCTTGTGATCCTGGACGAGAACTACTTAGATTCATCCCACTTCTACACCAATGCTATGAATTTTTTTTTTTTTTTATGAGTCGAGTGTAGACGTTGCTCGCTTAAATTTATATTTGTGTGGTTATTGTTTTACAAATTTCAATCAGAATCATCTAATATATATATATATATATTTACCGTTGATTCTGTGTCACTACGTGGTGACACAAAATATTTTTTTTTAAAAAAAAAAATTCTTGTGGGTTTCACTTAAATTAAATAATAATAAAATAAACGGTTGAGAAATACAGAATTTTTTCTATTTGTTTTAAAAAAAATTCTTATGGTCCCACTTAATTAAATAATAATAAAATTATAAAAAAAAAGCAGGTGAACTACATAATCATACATAGTCATATTATTACTACACGGTCATGTTGTTACATAACTATCTACATTTCAATGTATAAATTATACATGACCATGTTGTCACACGGTCGTGTATAATTCTATACGGCCGTGTACCTTTCTGTTTCGGTCTAAAATTTTATTTTATTTTTTTATTTTTTATATTTTTTTTTGAATTTAGAATAGTTGATATAGTTAAAATGAAAAAAAATCAATAATAATCATAATATAATTAAAATGTATCACTTTTAGTTTAAATATAAATATTTATAGAGTATGTTCTTTTGGAAGATTTTGTCTAAAATTCTACTATTTAGACAAAAAAAAAAAAAAAAATCTCTTACAAATATCCGATTACTGTATTGAAATAATAAATTAGTTTTTAATACTATTATAATATACAAAATTAAAAAAAAAAATTATGAATGTGAATATCACGAAGTAAAACGATTTCATCCTTTTTAATTTATGACAGAGATTACAATTTTTTTATTTTTTATTTATGAGTGTGAATTCTACTAAATAAATTTATAATTTTTTTTATTATATAATAAAAATATTTTTACAAATTTCTGTGCATAGCTCAGAGTGACCATTAGAATTTTCATATTTATTTTTGTTAAAAATGATGATATCGATTATCGAGGCGCCCGCCATTATGGAATATGATATGATATTTATATAAAGTATAATGTATATATTTTTTTTTAATAAAAAAATCATAAATTATTTATATAATTGAAAAATTATTTAGTCATGTATGTAGGGTCAAAGGAGTGTCGTTGGGGGGTTTTGCTGTCTAAAATGGACCTGCTGACTCATCTTGTATTAATTTTTATTTTATTTTATTTTATTACAATTATATTTTCTAAATGTTCACAATTTATTTTCTTTATGACATAAATATAAAATAAACGGATTACTTTAAAGTACAAATCCAACAACATAAAATATAATAAAACTACAATTATTCCATTAAATTCACTTCAAACAAAGTAAAAATAACATCGACAATCCTTATTCAAGACTCAAATAACATTCGAAGATAAAAAAGATAACACGATGTTCTTACTCATAGTAACAAACATACAAAGTGTACTCGAAAATCATATAATTCTCGACAGGATCATGCGAATACGTATTCGAGATCGCGAACCCCTTAGCCATCCGGAACATTCCGGTCCCTCCGACAATGGCCAATTCCCGATCCGGAATCTCCATTCCCAAATTTCTCCCGACTATACTTATCGTGCTCCCCTTGTACTCGCCAGTCGTAAATAAAACGTTCACGTTCATCGCAAGCCCGGCTTGTACCTTATCCGCCGACGTTACGAGCCCTTGGGCGAACCCGACCTCGGCAGAGTTGCGATCGGCCTCGGCCGTAAGTTTGGCATTGACAACAAAGACTTTGGAAAATAGCGTCGGGGAATTCGCCGTGTCTTTTCCGCCGCAAACCTCCGTTAGGGCTGCGTCGGGACCCGTTCGAGGCTCTTGGACGTAGAATTTGATCGCGGCCGTCTTCTCCTTCCGTTGGCTCGGCGGGATTTTGAACCATTCGGCGCCGCTGGTTAATCCCGCCATAGCGAAAAAATGGAGGTTGGCGAAAATGTGAAGAGTTTAGAGAAGAAAGAAGTGTTTTTTTGGTAATTTTGATTGCAAGTGATAATCATTGAGGGGTTATTTATAGGTGTGGATTTGAAGTTATGGAAATAAATTATTTAATTTAAAAAATTTTGGAAAATTTGTTCAAATGATGTGGACTGTGTTTTGTGAATTGAAAAGTATGCAATTTTTTTTTTTGTTATTATGACGTCAATTTCACAGTGCTTATTCTATGAGTGCGCTCTGATGGTGTAATATAGGCTAAATTTATTATCGTAAGATTAAAAATTTAAATTTTTGATGTCTCTAAGTTTTGTCTATTATACATGATTCGTTTAATGTGACTTGTTTTATAGAATTTAATTTGTAAATTATTGAATTTGATCGAAAATTTATCTAGAATACACTCAAAGAATCACAAACGTGTAGACTATTAAATTCGATCGAAAATTTATTTAAAATACACTAAAATAGTCACAAACGTGGGTCCCAAAAAAATATGCATTGTTGACTTGAAATTAAATGCAGGTTGAGTAATGGACTCTCCATACTTACATTTGTTTTTTTTATAATATATATATACATATATATTAAATGTTTTTTCTATCACAGAAATTATAATAAATATTTATTTTTTATTATTTTCTCAATTTAAAAAAAATTAAGACACTTCAAAAATGTATTTGTATACAGAACTTAAGGTTTATATATTATTTAAAATAATTTGGATTTTGATATTTTGTGTTTGAATATAATATGCTAACATTTTGAAACAAAATAATTGTGGTATATGAAATTTTAAAATAGATTTTGGATATAAATTTATTTAGGTATTTGTTGAAAGTGTTGTAGAGAGGGTTGAAAAGAGTAAAAGCTAAATACAAAATATTCTTTTAATCCAAATTAAGTGTATTATTTTAAATTTTTCTATAATAGAATTAAAACTAATAGTAATATTTTTTTTAATTAATAAAAATATAAAGATAAATTAAATATTTTTGTTAAAAAAAAATAATATTGTTGTAAAAATAAATAATATTTTAATATTTATATTTAAATTATTTTTCTTATAATAAAAGTTAAAATATTGAAATATAAAACAAAATTACAAATATATATATATATAGTTTTTTTTATTATTATTGGAACTGAGAGGCTACATATTATATATATATATATATATATGTGAATAACTGTTGTAATATTTTATATATAAAATTTTTAAGTTAATTTTAAAATAAAAAATTTAATATATTTTTTAAAAAGTATATAATAGTATTAACTTGAAAAGTATTAATAGAGCTAATTATGATATGTTAGTTTAAATAAATAAAAAATATATATTTAATACTCCCTCCGTCCCAGATACCATGTCCACGTTGCCGTTTCTGTCCGTCTCACGTATCATGTTACTTTCCTTTTTGAAAAATGATTACACACCTTAATCTCATTTTAAATTTTTGTATTTTATTTTTTTTTAATTTTAATTAAATTAATTAGTTATCTTAATCTTAATTTATAATTATAAAATAATTATTTTCACTAATACATTAGTAATTATCTACTAATTATACCTCTCATAAAATAGCGTGTCTGAAGTGTAACAGACACGGTATCTGCTACGGACGGGAGGGAGTACTATAATTGTATATAAATTATTCACGTCCTCTCATAAGATCTAGTCAACGGTTCTATTTTTTAACTTATCCGAGTCAATAATGGCCACTAATCTTTTTTAATAATAATAATAATAATAATAGTAGTAATAATAATAATAAAACGATTGTTTTATTCGCACATTTAAGTTGACGTCGACATATAAATCATAAAAATATTACTTCCTAGTCTCAACGTAGTATGCCCCACATGTCGTGTTCATGTTATATTTATGGACGTTTAACATCTTATGCAATATTATTTTTTTAAAATATAATTATATATGTTTTGATTTTATTTTAAATTTTTTAACGTATATTTTTAAAAATTAAATTAAATTAATTAATTATTATAATTTTAATATATAATTATTTAGTAATTATACGTCAATTAAATATTTATTTATAGAAGAAGGGATTATTTTTTAACAAAAAATTTGTAATCAATATCAGCTGAAGTCAAAATAAGCTCACTATAATATATTGTTGGGAAAAAGAAAATCAAACTCGGGTTCCACATGTAAGAAATTAAATAATAATAATAATAATAAGCTATAAGTTATGTTCTATCGAAAAAATAAATTAATATTTCAGTTTTTAGTTGAAAATTGGGGAGGAAAACTGATTTATTTAATTAATATTTGATTTATGTAATACTTCATCCGTCCTAATATAATAGTTTTTGTTGAGATATTTTAGATATTTAATTTTAGATTTTAGTAAATTTATATTTAGATTTGATCTTATTCATAAATTAGGGGCGTATTTGGCAATTAGCTGTTAGCTGATTCAATTAGCTGATAGCTGATTCAATTAGCTAGTTTGACTAGCTGATTCGATTAGCTGTTTGTATTAACATGTTTGGTAAAATAACTGTTTGATATTAGTTGTTTATACGTAAAATGACAATTGAGGAGATTTCTATTTTATTCTTGTTTCTAATATATTCAATTATATTTTTTTGAGTTTAGAATGTTTAAATTTTTTTTATTAGTTATTGAAAATTGTAAAAGTGTTATAAAAGTATTTATTTTTATTACAGTTAGATATAAAAAATAATATATTTTTATTAAAATATATAAATAGTTTTTTTTATTGAAAATGATGTAAAATATAAAATAATAAATTTTTTCGTGTATATATTTATTATGTTAGTTATCTATTAGTTCATTATATTTATAATTTTTAATAAATTTAATTTATTTTTAGTATAAAATTTATATAATGTAATTTTAATAAAAAATTAAATATTAATATTTATATTTTTTATGTTATGTTGATTTTAATAAATTAATATATTTTACAATTAACATAATTTTTATATAAAAATTAATTATTTTAAATTTATAAAAGTAAAACTATAATATAATAAAATATTCTAATATAATTAATAAATAATCAAAATATATTTATTTGTGTAAAATTTATAATAAATTTTTAAGGGCATACAAGGAATAAAAAAATTTTTATAAAAAAAACTATTTTAAAACGTTGGGTAAATTAGCTTTTCAGAAATTAGCTTTTTGGGTCCAAAAAGCTATTCCAAAAAGTTAATTTAACACCTAAATTAGCTTTTTGACTGGTCAAACAGCTAAAAGCTATTCAATAAGATAAAAACTCTTCAAAAAGCTATTTGCCAAACACCCCCTAGATTACTTAGATTTGAGTCTATCGAGTCTATTTTGTATTGCTTATATATAATCTCCTTATTTTGATGATCAATAAGACAATCTCATTATTTTTCTCCAAAATTTCTAACAGTCTTGTTTACCATTTTTGTTTGTTCCAAAATAATAGTTTTATTTCCATAAAAAACCATATCACAATAAAATTATCCATATTTTTTCATTTTTATTACATAATTTCCACTACTTTTTACAATAATACACTTACAAGAGCAAACAAGTATTTTATCCATACTTTTTAACAACTACAAATATAATATCAATATTTTTTAAATCTCGTGTTCAACCCAATTAAAACTATATTTATAGGACGGATAGTGTATATCATAAAATTAAAAAAAATTAAATTATGTATTTAATTATTTTAATAATTGAATTTAAGTGTAGTTAATTTTGACAGACGGACGGAATATTTTAATTTAAATTCAAATACAAGATATATTAAAATTATTGTCCAAAATCAATTATTAAATAAAAATTAAAATAAATTTGAAAAAAATTATATATATCGTTAAAAAAATGTTTATTGATATTTTTTCCATTTATATTTCGTTGTTAGCTTATAGTTGATTTTTTTTTTAAAAAAAATAATATATCAAATTAAAAAAATGCAGTAACCAAAACTAAAACAAACAAATAACATTAAGTAAGTTGTCCTGTAATGGATGGTCGGATCGCGGGGGGTTCGTGATTGTGTTTGATTACTTTGTATGTGTTAAATAGTACGAATAATAATACTCTGTCCGTACGCCTCTAAAAGTCACATTTATCTTTTGCATTATTGTTTTTAACATTAAAAATATCTTTATATGTGTATAACTTTTTATAAAAATGTCATTTTTATTAGTATTATAAGACACTAATGAAAGTATTTTTGTAATTTTTTCTTAATTTGTACTACATTTTGATATAATAATTAATATTCAAATATCAACACGCAAAAAATAAATGAGACTCTTAGAGCCGGACGAAGGTAATATTTTTATTGATTAATGAAAACATGCAATATTATTTTAACATTTTTGTCTTTAAAAGTATAAATAAAATGAATATTTTTGCATAAATAATTTTAAATAAGACATATAAAAATAGTAAAAATGATATATAAAATTAAAATGAAAAGAATAAAGACTAAAGAGACATGTTATTTGAAATAAATTCAAATGTCTACAAACAAAGGCCACAAAACCTCTAATAACATTAAATTAAAAATTTATTTTTTATTTTTTATATTATATTAAAAATTAATTTTACATTTAAAATATCATATTCACACATATTTATATCACATATTAGAATTATTCTAATTCAAATTTTTTTACTATTCAAATCTTAATTTAAAATCCAAACCTTCAAATAAACACACCGGACGTGTTTCAAATATAATATATCCCAAAAGAATAACAAACTAAAATAATAATATCCAATCGAAATAAAATTGACCAAAAAAAAATTTACTACCATCATTTGTCAAGACATTTTGGATTGGCCACAGCGGCGATAAAAATATTTTTTCCGTTCCACTTACTATGTTCAGATTATTATAGATACAAAAATTTAGAATAAGTATAATTAGTAAATAATTAGAAATATATTAATATTAAAATAATTAATTAATCTAATTAAAATTTAAAGAAATTATAAATTAAAAAATTTAAAATGAGATTATAATATATAATTTATTTTCAAAAAAAAAAGCATGAAATATGAGACGGGATAGAAACGACAAT